AACTGCGGTAACTCCTTCCCAGACTCGGGAAGCAAGCTGTTCATTATTCACTGTTGGGTGTTAGGCAAGTGCCTTCTCATAGTAATGACTGGGTTTTTCATCATGAACAGGTGCTGAATTTTAATGCTGATTTTTGTCAAGCTATAGAAGTGACTTAGCTGTTTTTTCTCTTGCATTCCAAAAATAGTAGTTACCTTGATTTGGCTATGTGAAAAATATTAGTCTTTCTTCTAATGTTCTTATCAGATTTTAGTAGCGAAGTTATACATACCTCATAAAATGAGGAAATGTTTTGTATTCTGTGAAAGAATTTTTGTAGTAATAGTTGCACTTTTTTTCCTTATGCTTACGATTTCACAAGGGAAATTTTCTGGGCTTGCAGTATTCTTTGTGGGAATGTTATTAAATACTGATCTAATTTCTTTATTTGTCAGAGAACTGTTTACATTTTAAAATTTCTTTTTGCTCAATTATGATAAAGTAGCTCCTTGAGGGTTATATATATTTCATCCAAAATTCCAAACAGCTATCAATAATATTGTTGTATCTTCCTGTAGAATTTATGGTGGTATCTTTTACATTCCTGATAATTATAGTATGTGTGTTTAAACTTTTTTTGTCTTTGATAAAGGTTTATCAGTTTCAATTTTCTTAAGGGCCCAACTTTTTGCTTGGGTTTTCCTCAGTTGTCTGTTTTCTTGATTTCTGCTCTCAGGATTTTCTTCTACTTTTTTTCCTGAGGGTTTTCTTTTTAATTTTATGGATTTAGTTTATTATACTTTTCCAGCTACTTGAAATCAAATCTTAGATTGTTAATTTTCAGTCTTTTTCTTTCCTAAAATATGTATTTAAAACTATAAACTGCACCTAAGCATTTCTTTAACTCTGTTTCACAAATAACTGATATATTTTATTTTTTAAATTTTTGTTATCTGTCAGTTTTCTTTTGACCTTTTCTCCGGATCACTAGTGCTTTTATCTGCTGCCCAGGATCCAGTGTTACTGATCTCATTATAATTATTTGTTCATCTTTTCTTCTGTTCTTTTGGTTTGTAGTCATTTCTGTGTCCTGTCAAGTAAGTCTAGTATCTGAATCACAGGTGAGTTGGTTTCTTTTTCTGGTCTTTCTCTGATATTTTGTTTTCCTTTGTTCTTTTAGAAGTGTATGTGTTGTTGTTGTTGTTGTTGTTGGGGTCTTGCGTGGCCCTGCAGTTTTTCTTTTTCATTTGATCTTAGCCAAAAGGCCAAGACTCGATACAGATTGTTTTTTTTATCAGAGCCTGGGCATCATGGGTGAAAAATCTTTAGAGGTTTCAAATGTACCCAGCTCTCCACCTCTGTTGCTGGAGTCTTAGGAGTTTGGTCCTGTGTGTGCATAGAATGGAGCAGTAAGCCGAAGGAGAGAGGTGTTACCGTGTGGATTTTTAGGAACTCACTTCTTTGTGGTCTTGCTTGCTTGGATTTTGACTGTTTATACTCAACTACTGTGGCAGCCCTCAACTCTGACCTTTGACCTTTGACTCTGCAGCCCACTACAACTGTTGCTTTTTGTCCTGGCTCCATTTTCTTGCCCATGTTATTTGGATACTGCTTTTGTCCAGAGGGAAAAATCCAAGATGGCTGTGTCTTGTCCTCCTGTGCTTCTCATTTTTCAAGGATCAGACCCTCTGAAACTCAGCCTGCTGAGTTTTCTCCATTGCCTGTGTGTGTGTGTGTGCGCGCGCGCACACTGGGACTCCAACTCCAGATCTTGCGCTTGCCAGGCAGGCCCTTGTGCCATAGAGCTGTATCCCCACCCCTCTCTACATTGCCTTTAAAGATTTGTTTTATATATTTAGTGTGACATAATGGTTTTATATAAAAGGATCAAGCATTGGCCTGATACAAGCTATTTTGTCATAACCACAATCTCTGTAAAATAAGGTTAATAGTAATGTCAGTCTCACAGGATTGTTGTGAGAATTATGGACAACTTGGGTAGAAAAGTGCTTCGAAAAATGTCTCCCAGGAGGATTGCCATGAGTTCACAGCCATCCTGGGCTACATAAGCAAGTCCAAGCCCAGTCTGCGTAGATCCTGTCTCGGAAAAACAGTCAGACAGAAAGAAAGGAAGCCTCAGATGTAGCATCTTCATTTTAACTTGTTTTATTGCCTCTGTTATCCTATTGGATGAGACTGAAATCATTCAGCTATATTGAAAACAACTCCCTCAATATGCACATATAATCTTCATAATTTGTACAAGTTTTGTTTTTAAATAATTTTTGTGACGTAGTCATTGTTTTCCTAAAATTAAGGTCACACTTGATTTTCTGGGCTGTTGATTGTTTCTATAATTCCACTGTGTTAAGGTGGCATTTAAAACAGAAATTTACTCTTTCAATGTCAGAAGCTGAAGTCTGAGAAGAAGATGTCTGCATGATTGAGTTCTGATGGACAGTCTTTGGGTCAGGGACAGCTGCCCTCTCACTGAGTCCATACGTGGTGGGAAAAAAAACGAACTCTTGTAATGAATCTTTTCCTAAGCATCTTAATCTATAATGTAGACCCCACCCCATGGCCTCCTCCAAATCTGATTACCTCTCCAAGGCCCCATCTGTAACTCCCGTCACATTGTGGGACTAGGACTTCAGCATAGGAATTTGACAGCAGAGGACACAGTTCAATTTAAAGTACCATCCTTCTCTCTCAGTTGACATTGTCTTTAATAAAGTGTGTGGTTTTCAGTGCTGGGAGTGGAAGCAGGAAAAATGAAAGTTTGAACCCAACCTGGGCAGTTCAGCGATTTAGCAAGACCTTGTCTTTAAAAAAATTTTGTTTGAAAAGGTTATGGCTCAGTGTGAAGGCCCTAGGTTCAAGCCTCAGTACTCCACATTACTCCAAAATAAAACAAAAAAGTAGGGTGGGGGTGGGGGGGCGGGGGTTGGTGGTGGCTTGTAAATGTGCCCAAGAAGCTAAGGCAGGAGGATCATGAGTTTGAGGCCACTATGGGATACATTGCCAACTTGAAGTAAGCCTGGACTACATAGTAAGACCCTGTCTCAAAAAAAAAAAAAAACCCAAGAAATAATAATAATTTCAGTTATCACTATTTACTGACTTTATTTTAATGATTTCTTTGAGACAGGCCCTCACCGTGTAGCTCAAACTGGCCTTTAACATGCAGCAGTCCTTCAGCCTCAGCCTCCCAAGTGCTAGGATTGTAGAAGTACTTCACTGCACCCAGCTTACCTTTTAAAATATTCTGTTATACCATTCCTTCCATTCTCTAAAGCCTCCATCAGACTTGTGTTAGAATGCTGCAATCTTGTGTGACTTTATCCCTAAAGACTCCCTATGTTACCCAGGTGGTCTTGAACCTCTGGACTCAATTCTCTTGTTTCAGCCTCCTGATTTCTGGGACTATTGGCATGCTTGTGATGGGCCAGGCTTTTTAATGACTCTTAGCCTTCCAACATTTCTTATTGAAGTGTAATTTATGTAGAGTGAAATGAGCAAGTAATAAAGGTAAAATAATGTGTTGACAGTTATGTAAGTTTATATAAAAGCTTAAAATATAATATGCCATTATATTTAGGCTGACGGACTGCTGCATGTTAAATACCATTTTTTATTAGCTTTGTCCATTTTGACAGACACAAACACTCATGTAGTCTACAACCTCATCAGGTTCCAGAATATTTCTGACATCCCCAAAAGTTCTGTCATATTCTTCCTTGTCATCTCTCCTTCCTCACAGCAGTCTTTGATTTCTATAAATTGGATTTTCTTTTAAAACTTCACAGAAACCGATTGTCAGACTGTGGGGTTATATGCTTAGTGTTGAAGCGCCTATACTATGCTCTGGGTTCAGTCCCCAGCACTGTACAAAAAAGGAGGCAAGTGGGAAGAAAGGAGGCTGGGAGAAAAGTAAGATAGAAGGAAAGAAATGAAATGGTAGCCCATTTCTCCTCCCCTAGTGGTCACGCTTTTGAGATCTCATGTACTTTCATATGAATGCATCTCCCAAATCTTTCTGCCCATTTATCAGCCTTAACCCTTTATAATTTGTATGTTTCTGTTAACATTCTTGATCTTTAAGATGTAGTATCTGGCTGGGGATTTAGCTCAGCGGCATAAGCGCCTGCCTGGCAAGCGCAAGGTCGTGAGTTCAATCCCTGGTACCAAAAAAAAAAGATGTAGTATCTTTAGCACTACCATAACTTTTTTTTTTAAGAAGAGAGGAAGGGATTCTTTTTTTAAAAGTTTATCCAAATGTTCTATTTAGATTTAATAAATGTTCAAGTTTTGCCTTGTTTGCTTCAGACATCTTTAAAAGAAATAAAAAAAGATGTACACAGTTGAAGTTCAAGCCTTGCTTCCTTTTCAGTTCTCTTTTCCCAGAATCAGTCACTGTCCATGAGTTTACTTCCATGCATATTATATATTTTAATATTTAAGTATATTGTATTTTAAGCTTTTATATAAACTTACACAACTGTCAACACATTATTTTCATTTAACATTGGTTTTAGTTTTATCCACATTGGTACTTATGAATGTAATTTATTTGTGTCACATTCCAGGTGAATTTTATTTATCTGTTCCTTTGCTGGTATCAGATAAGATCATTTCCAATTGCTGTTATTGCGTATACTTCGATAGTAAACGTCTTCGTCATACTTTGTTTGTTGTGCATATTTCCTGGAGAGCACATGTAAGATTCTTACACACATAACTAGAAGTAGAATTGCTCCATCGTAAGGAACACCCTCCAGAATGTCTTTTTTGTGTTTGTGAATTGTGTGCTCATGTTCTTAGCCCATGTTTTGTATCTGGATGTGAATTCTGTACCAGCATTTTGCCTCTTTTAATACACACAGTAGAGTTTTTATTGCCATGTGTTTTGAGTTGTGTTGTCTTAGAGTATGCTTTCAGCATAATCTTAAATGCTAGTTTGATTACATACGTAGGAAGAGCTTTAATGCTTTGTCACTCTGGACCTTCCTGTTCTTTTTCAGACCCTTTGCACAGATGGTTACCATGTTGAGATACTAGCTGTCGCATGTGGGTATGCCTGCATTTGAAAATGGCAGAGGGAAATAACAATGAAGAAGTAATTCACTTGAACAGTTTTCACTGCCACAGGGGACAAGGTAAGTTGTTTATTCTCACTTTCTCTTGTCGTTTGTTACTTTTTCATTTAATATTACTGGCAATATCTTCTTTGAAATGAACCCATTATGCTCTCATTAGAATTCAGAGACGTTGAGTTTTTAGATGCAGACACCACAAAAGGACTTGTCAGACTAGAATTGTGTCAGGTGATAATTACATGCAGCATGAATGAAATGGAAGAATCACCTATCTCCATAGATTAACTAACTAGAAAATAAGATGTGAATTTGCAGTCATTGAGTCTGAAGACACAGGGCTGTGCAGGAGTGTCAGTTCTGCTTGTGATGGAATGGTGATGGAATGGCTCAGGAGCGCTCTTAGGCCTGCTCAATGTATAGTTATGTGCTGCTAAATATTCTTGCCCTTTTGTTTTCCAGAACATTCTGCCTTAGACTTAGGGAAAATTTTAGGACAAATTTTTTTGTTTGTTTGTGTATTTAAAATTTTAGTAAAATCGTTGATTCCCATAGGGAAAATGTCTTTCTGTAACATTCCTAAATGTATATGAGATTTCCTGCAAAATCGTAATTCACGTTTACACTTGAACTTAAAGGAAAAAAATCATGCTGATAAATAGGAAAAGAATTCTTAATATACTTCTTTCTCTCTTTTTAATTTTGAGACAGAGTCTAGAGTGGCCTCAAATTTATGGTGCTCCTCCTGCCTTCTAGCCTCCTGAGTGCTAGAATTACAGCTGTGTGCCACTACACCTGGTTAATATACTCATTTCTTACAAGTTCAGATTCCATGAAATAGGCTGAGATGGTCTTGTTTCTTTCCATTAATATTTTGTATTGATGAAGATGTTTTTTTCCAGCAGAATAAATTATATTTAACTTTCAGAACATTTAAAATCAACTATTAAGGCAGCCAGGCATGGTGATGCATGCCTATAACCCCAGAACTTGGGAAGCTGAGGCAAGAGGATTGCTGCAAGTTTGAGGCTAGCCTGGGCTACAAAGTGCGTTCAAGGCAAGCCTGAACTGCATAGTGAGACCCTGTCTCAAACCCCCCCCCAAAAAAAATAATAATAATATCAACTTTAAGTAAATTGAGAGAAATAAAATTAAGCTATACAAGTTATGAGAATAAAACAAATATTGATCTTTAGAATTTTACAGATAGTATATGCTAACTTTGTAGTGATTATAACCATAAATTACTGTGATATAGAAAGTGTTAAATCTTAGTTCTAACTTGTATATCTGATCCTTTTAAATTTTTGTGTACATGTATATCAGATTAACGTTATTTTTAATTTTTTTAAAGAACAATTCCTTCTGGGAAATTACTGACTTTAGAAGTACATTTTCTGGGGCTGGGGATTTAGCTCAGCGGCATAAGCACCTGCCTTGCAAGCAGGCAGTCGTGAGTTCGATCCCTGGCACCGATAAAAAGGAAAAAGACCAAAAAAAAAAAAAAGAAGTACATTTTCTGTGAGGAAAGTATATATACTGTGCACTCACCATGAGAATTTTTTTAGGCATGTTTGAATTTTTTATTAGCTGAAATAATTTCACTATACCAATGTCTTTTTTTTTTTTTAAGTGTAGTTTAGTGAGTTTGGGCAAATGGATTCACCATTTCACTCATGATAATAGGCCAGAGATCCTTTGTGCTTCTTTGCAGTCACTCCTTATCCCATGTCTCGTCAAGGCAACCACTAATCTGCTCTTTCTCACTATTCAGCTTCATATAAATGGAATTGTTCGCAGAGTATTGTGGTAATCTGGGCTCCTCAGGGGTCCATTCTAGGCTCAATGTCCTGAACAAAGAATTGGACAGGAAACAAAGTAGGAAAATGTTTTACATTTCTTAAAGGTATTAAAGGTAAAAAAAGAAAGAAGTACTGCAAAAAGAAGTTCTCTACCGAGTGCGGGCAGGCCAGTTAAAGTAGGGAAGAAGATATGCTCTGTACTCAGTGCAGGCCACTGAGGAGAAGGCTGCTGTCTTTATACCCTGATCTCACGTAGATCTAGACTGTCCTGTCCAAAACCTGCTTGACCTTATACCAGAAGAATCAAAGATAGCGTCCTCTGATTGGTGTCAGGTACAAGACTTGCAAGCTGTACTGCACATGCCATGAGTCTTCGTAATCGACAGGTCATCCGCACTTGCCCAGCTGCTTTACCATGACCATTAGTAATCTGCTGTAGAGTCATGCAATACATATTCTTTGTATCAGAATTCTTTTGCCAAACATAATTTTTTGAAATTCATCTATGTCGTTGCATGGATCAATTTTTAATTCCTTTTTAATTGCTCAATAGAAGCCGGGCATGGTGGTACATGCCTGTAATCCCAGCACTTGGGAAGCTGAGGCAGGAAAATCACAAAGTTCAAGGACAGCCTGCAATACATAATGAGCCTGGGATGTGTAGCAAGTTCATAGTGAGGTTCAGCCTGCACTTGAGTCCTTGTCTCAGAACCAAAACAAAAGAATTAAAGGAAAGCTTAATAACAGTGACTCATCAAACAGACCTTCGGGATACCATTCTAGCTTACTAACATAAGTGTCATGAAAGTCCCAGGAGAGGCAAGGACAAAGAGCACGAAAAGATTTGAGGAAGCAGTGGCTGAAAATTTCCTAAAATTGAAGGAGAATGTTAAGCTACACATTCAAGAAACTAAATGGACTTCCAAAAAGAATAAATACAAAGATGCCAAGCCTGATGCGCACACGTACAATTCTAGCGCTCTACATGCTAAGATAAAAGGAGCTCCGTGAGTTCCAAGCCGTTGTGGACTCATAGTGAGTTCAAGACCAGCCTGAACTACACAGTGAAAATCTAAAACCAAAATAAAGAACCACCACCAGACTGGTCCTGGTCATTTGCCTGAAAGGCCATGACTTGTCACATGGTTGTATGGACAGAAGTCTGGAAACAGCTTTGCTTATAGAGATCAAAGACTTCGAATGCCTCTAGCTGCTGGCCTCAGTAATATCCTATGCCACAGATTTCTGAGCTTTCCTTGAGCTCTGCATCATTTGAGTTTGCATCTTCTCCACTTGGTTAAAGCACTTGCGCCTCTAAATCTGCTATTTTCCAGAATTTTGTTGAAGTCTCTCAGCTAGTAGAATCTCCTTTCCTGTTTTTTTGTTCTTAAGGATAAGTTCGTTTATTGTCATTTTAGTGGAGTTTCAGGAGGAGGTAGTTATTAAGCACCTGGGTTCATCTTACCAAGTTTAACTGGGAATTCTTTCCTGTGTGCTTACCAGCCCCTCAGTTGCATTTAGTTGCTGTGTTTGTCACTCTGCTGTGAAAAGTAGTCTTGGCATGGTGGAAGCCTTCCTGAGTGTCAGGCACTATTTTAAGCAAGCATTTTGTATGACTTTTCTGAACTGAGTCTTCCTTGAAGTAGACACCATTGTTCACCTTTTTTTAATGTTAAGGAAATGAATACTTAAAGCAGGCAGCTAACACCAACAGCCATTGTGTGGCAGAGGTAAAATTGAAACACAAGCAGTCTACCTGAGAGCCTGTAGATGCCCCTGTATTAAACTGCTTTTCCTGCCACCACCACAGCCTTCAAAAATGAAATTATTGTTTTTTTATTGTTTTTCAAATTGTAGAACACCCAAAAATATATGAGATGTTAAACTTAAGAAAAATATCACAAACTTCAGTGAAAGACTTTCCAAAATTGTAGCAGTGACGCTTCTCTCTTTCGTTGCTGCTACTGCTGCTGCTGCTCTTTCCTTCTGGATCCTCAGTGGATTCTCTCTCTCTCTCTCTCTCTCTCTCTCAATCTTTATATTTTTTTATTTTTTTTACTTTTGCCTATTTTAACCTTTAATATTCCCATGGAACCAGACAAAAACTACAAATGTTTAAAATCTGTCTTCAAATAGGTAAAAGATAGTAGAAATCTAGAATGAAATTATCACACATAGATGGTTAGTTAAACTATACTTAGTTTAAAAAGAAACTAGGAAAATTAAATTGCTTTCTGTCAGAGATGCTAAATGAGTGTTTGACTAAAACATTGGAATGCATTTGCTTAAATGATCCTTAAAGTTTATGTATTAGCCATGAAATTTTTACTGTCTTGGGTGATCATTTTCTCTGATCTACCAGTTTAAATAAAATATTATTTTATTCCTTAAAGGAGTAAAATGGGTGGGACACCATAATTTGATTTTAGAGAAATGACCAGTAAAGATTTTAATCAGTGGATTACTCCAACCTAGTGTTGTATTTATTTACTTATTTTTGTTTTTTGAGACAGGGTCTCACTGTGTAGTTCAGAAGGGGTGGCCTTGAACTCATTGTGTAACCTAGGCTGGCCTCAAACTACCTCAGCCTTCCTAGTGCTAGGATTATAGGTATATTCTACCATGCCCAGCTCCCAACCTAATATTTTAAAGAATTGGTAATCCTGAGCGTGTCAGATTTCCCAAAATATGCTATTTACAAAAGCATGGTGTCTGGGCGCACCCATGTAAATCGCAGCTCCCTTGGAGACTGAAGCAAGAGGATGTCAAGTTTGAGGCCAGTGAAGGCAATTTAGGAAAGCGTGTCTCAAGAAAATAAAAAATCACCAAGGAAATGTGTGGTTTGCTTGAGAAGGTAAGTTAGTATGCCTAGCAGCCATAAACTTGGCCGTAGGCTTAACCCTCTTTTGCTAAGCTAGAATTAGAGGACTGACCGACTATGCCAGCCTTCCGATAACAGTGTTCCATGCCTTCCTGTAGACTGGATCAGTCTCAGAGATGGGCCCATCACCATATCTGACTCCTCCGATGAGGAAGGGATTCCAATGCTGGTCACCTCGGCTCCTGAGCAGCATGAAGAGGACCTGGATGATGATGTCATCCTGACAGAAGTGAGTCATCTTAAAACTGCTGTGATGCAGGGCATTATTATTACAAGTTAATGAGCTGATTCTTCAGCTACTCTGGTCCTCGTAGAACAACTAAAAACATCTCTGCGCCTTTCTGCATATCTGAGAGCAGCCCTCTTTCCATTCTACCCTGGCATCCTTAGCTTTGGCAGCTGTATGTTTTGTGTCTCTGGACTTCTGTGCTATTGCTCCATGCCGCATACTTGCATTAGCTCACACTATAATAGCTCAGACATTGTAACGTGTCTTACCATCCAATAAAACTGGATGGTAACCCATAGTTAACCCATAGTTTTGAAATCAGCCTGGCTATTATGCTTAAACTAATTTTATGTAAATTTTACAATCAGCTTCTCTAGTTCCAAAAGATAATTTGTCTAAATTAAAACAAATCTTACTGGTATATTTATAGAAGTGTATGCAACGCTGACTTTTTCTAAACCAGGACAAGTTTAAAGTAAGGTTTGTCTTTCCATGTAGTCTATCCACCTTTTATATGCCTCAGCCAGAGTATTTTGAATTTTTCTTAGTACAGATTTCAAGCATTCTTTGTTGTTTATTCTTGGTTATTGTTTTTTTCTGTTACTTTTGTGAATGGCATCTTCCATTGTGCCTTTTAACTTATATTTAACTTATATTAAAGTCTTTTAAGTCTGTTCCTTTTATATTAATTTCACAATTACTTATATTTGTATGTATACAATTTTGTATATACAAGGTGTATTGTGTATACACCTTTTTTTGAGTATACACAATTACCTTTTATTGCCTATTTTTCAGTTAACTCATAATTTCTTGAGAATTTGCATATGATCTGTCTGCACTTAATGATACTTAGAGTTCCAATTTTTATACTTCTTTTTCTTTTCTAATTGTGATAGTTCCTCAAAGATTTTAATGCTGATAAAAATAACCACGGATGTAAATGAGAATACTGGTAATATATGTTCCTTAAGTGTAATAATGCCTTTTGGCTTGAGATACTTTTTTTTTCTTACATTATGTTAAGGAAATAACCATTTACTTTTACTAAATTTTAAATTTTTCTTAAGAGTAGATGTGAAATTCTGTCTAATTGAATTTCAGAGTCAGTGGGAATTGTTGTGTAATTTTTGCCTTGATCTGTTGATGTGGTGAATTATTCTGCCTCTCAAAAGTGCACATGGCCATGGTATTGTAATGTGGTGGTAATGTGCCAGTGAGTTCCATTTGCTAATGTTTTATTAGGGCTTTTTCTCCATAGACCTCTTCACTGAGACTGGCCCATAGGGTGGAGTGGGTACTTAAGCTCTCCTTGACAACTTTTCATAAACATGAGCTGGACTTTGTGAAAAGAGTTTGGAACTTTTTTCATTCCTTTGAGTTTTGAATGTATTGAGTAAAATTAAAATCCTGTTGTCTCTACTTAATATATAGTTCCTCTACTTTCCCTTCCTGTTTTGTCTATTTCTGCCCATTTGTCTTGATTTGGGGAAATAACTGTTAGCCTCCCTTCTTCCCTTGTTATTCTTCCTCTCTGCCAGAGACAGCTCCAGGATTTACTTGTTAGTGCCATGATCTATTTTCTCATTCGCTAATTTCAGCTTTTGTCTTAAGTAATTTTTCTTCCACTTTAGCATGCTTAATATATTTCTTTGGGGTTTATTTTACAGACCTTTTACTAACCTCTTTAGTTACTAATTCTTTGTTTATTCTTATACATTATTTTCCTGGCTACTGATTGCCATGTAATATATCACCTCAAGCCACATGTGATGGCGCATGCTTGTAATCCTAGCACATGGCAAAGCTGAAGCAGGAAGATCACTGTGAATTCAAGGCCAGCCTGGGCTACAGAGTGAGTTTCAGGCCCACCTGGACTGCAGAGTATCTCAAAAGGAAAAAAAAATCAACTAAAAACTTAATGTCAACTACAATCCTTACATTCTCTGTCTGACTTGGTGGTGGGAATTTGTAAAGGGCTTACTTGGGTAATGTTTTGTTGACCCACTTATCAGTGATAGTCATGTGAGCTGCTTTTACTTTGGGGCTGTTACACATATTCACATACAGGTTTGTGTGTATCACACATAGACTTTCATTTCTGTTGGCATGTGGACTGGATTATGTGATGACTCTGTGTAGCTCTGCCTGACTTGACTTTCCTGGCAGCTGTATAGTTGGATGTCACAGCTAGCAGTTTATCCATATTATCACTAATACCTGTTCCTGCCTGTCGTTTTTATTATAGTTAGATGGTATAAAATGCTATGTCACTGAAGTTTTGATTTGCATTTCCCAATGGTCAGTGATGTTGAGCATCATTTTTATACTATACTTGGGTATTGGCTGTGTTTGTATCTTTGAGGAAGTGTTTGTGAAGCTTTCTTGTTTATTTTTAAATGGGATATCCATCTCTTTATATTGAATTTTTATATATTGTAGATGCTGTGTCTTCATAAGATCATCTGTTTTACAAATATCCTCAGCCGGGGCTGGGGGTTTAGCTCAGCGGCATAAGTGCCTGCCTTGCAAGTATGCAGTCATGAGTTTGATCCCTGGTACCAATAAAAAGGAAAAAGACAAAAAATATATATATCCTCAGCCAAGAATGGTGGCATGCCTATAATTCCAACACTCAGGAAGCTGAGGCAGGAGAATTGCCATGAGTTTCAGACCAGCCTTGGCTACATAGTGAGTTCAAAGCCAGCCGGAAGTACATAGCAAGACCATGACTTAGGGAAAAAAACCCTTTTTTTCTCATTCTGTAGATTGGTGTTTTACTTTCTTCAAGATATCCTTTAAAACACAAAACTTTTTAAATTTAATGAAATCCAGTTTATTTTTCCTTGTATCAGTTGTCACTTTTGATACATATCCAACACATGACATAAGATCTGGTTAAAGCTTCTCACATCGTAGAGGCCTCAGGACTATTATAAATTAGTACTTTAAACCTCTTTTGGGTAATGTAAAAATTTTATTTCCTCCAAAGCTTGCATTGTATATTTTAATTCTGTGTATGGATTTTTAAATCCATAAAAAGGATTTTTATCTTACACAGTTAATGTTCATTGCCTTATCCAGAAATTTGCCTTTCTTTTGCTTTTTCATTCCATTATCTCTGACCTTAAACTGCCTAAAAACTAACTGTAGGATTTTCTTTGTGCAGACTTTGCTGATACTTTTGTAAAGTATAAAACAATATAGCATATGGGCTGGGGATTTAGCTCAGCAGCATAAGTGCCTGCCTGGCAAGCATGAGGTCATGAGTTCAATATCAGTAAAAAAAAAAAAGTATAGCACGTATTTTAATACTTACGAAAATATTTAAGTTTTCTATTTGTCTTTTAAAGTCATTGTTCATTTTTAAATGGGATATTCATCTCTTTATATTGAATTTTTATATATTATAGATGCTACAAAACACAAATTTCCATTTGTCTTTTAAAGTTATTGTTTAGTCTTAGTTTCATTGAAGGAACTATGTATTGCTGCTTTTAGGAGTTTTTCTTTGTTTTTACAGTCTGAATATATTCTGCCTAGGTTTGTATTGTTAAGAGAGTTTTAAAAAATTTATTCTTGGGCTAGGGATTTAGCTCAGTGGTATAAGGGCCTGCCTGGCAAGTGCAAGGTCATGAGCTCAATCTCCGGTACCAAAAAAAAAATTTATTCTTCACCTGTCATGGCCGCACACATCTATAATCCCAGCACTTGGGAGACTGAGGCAGGAGGATCACTGTGATTTCAAGGCCAACCTGAACTGCATAGTGAGACCCTGTTGCAAAAAAGAAAAAAAGAGTTACTTTGCTTAGATCTTTAAAAGTGAAATCAAGTCCATTATCTCCTTTCTTAAATATTCAATTCATTAATTTCTCTCGTGAGGTGTATTTATTTAAAATGCTTGGTGTCCATCTATTGATTCCTTATCTTAGGAACTATATTTTTTCCATTCTGGAATTTGCATTTGATCCTTATATTTCTTTACTGAAATTCGTAGTCTAGTCTGTTACATCCTTACATATGCTAAACATTGTGTAGAATCCAGGTTTGATAATTCCGCTATATGAAACTTCAGTAGGTGTGTTTCAGTGCTTGTTTCAATTGTTTCAGTTTTAGTGATCACATTAAAGTTTTTGTGTGCCTATTTTTTATTGCATGTGAGTCATAGTATTTGAAAAATTTGAGATTCTAGATGATGTTATCTTTCTCCACTGAGGACCTACACTTAGGTAAGGATACAGGAAATCACAGAGACAGGGAGCTGGGATTCAGTTCCTGGGATAGTAAACATGTTTCCTGTTCACCCTGCAGTGGTGTCACCCTTCAAAACTCACCATAGGGAGCCGGGGATATAGCTCAGCACCTGCCTGACAATTCGCTTCTCAATAAGAATATCAGGTCTTATTCATCTGCTCATTGTTCCGTTAGTCTGGAATTGACAGGTGCTTGTTTTGGGAACAAGTGCCCTTGATGGAGCCCATTTTGCTAGATTTCTACTCTGCATCATGCTAGCCTTGCAGCAAATGTTTTTGTCTTACTTTGCTGTGTTCTGCCATTGCTGGACTCGAAGGCCCCTTCTGGGGCTCGGTGCAGCTCAGAGACAGCACCTGCCTAGCATAGCATGCCAAGGCCTAGGTCCCATCTCAGCAGGGGAAAAGACTGCTTTTTTTTTTCTTTCAGTACTGAGGTTTCGCACATGTTCCGTAAATGCTTAACCCCTAAATGACATCTCCAGCCCTTTGCATTTTAGTTTTGGAGGTAGGTTGTTAAATTGCCCTCGCTGGCCTCAGATTTTCAACCTGCCTGCCTCTGCCTTCAGAGGAACTGGAAGTACAGTGTGCACCACCACACCTGGCTTCGCTTAAGCCATGACTTGCACTTTCTGAGTCATTTTCTCAGTATGTCTCTCCATCTCTTTCTTTTCTTTTAATTAGTACTGGGGTTAAACCCCTCACTTTCCCACTGAGTTATATCCCCAGCCTTTTTATTTTGAGATGGCGTCTTGCTAAGTTACACGGGCTGTGCTCGAATTTTCAATCTCCTGTCTCAACCTCCCAGAGTGTCAATATTTTTTCTTTCATTTTTTTTCTCAGCATTACTTTGATTATATAGTTGGTTCTATTTAAATACTTAAATTTTATAGTTGAGTTTTATTTACTGATGGATTCATTAAGACAGATTGGCCTCAAATTTGCCATCTTCTTGCTTCAACATCCCTAGTGCTGAGATTATGCTATTTTTGTTTCTTTCTTTCTCTTGTTTTTAATTTTAAAGAGTATAAAACCAAGCAAAATAAAACCAATCAAAATAAACCAGTGTAAGTGACACAGGACTTCAGTATGAAATCAACAATAATTACCATAATGCCTCTTGTTGTCTTCAAAATAGCTGCAGATACCTTAGAAATAGTGAAAATCAAACAGAACAGAACAGAATAGAACCAATAAAAACAAAACAATGAATGCAATAAGGACTTTAAAACAAGACAACAGCAAATCCAAAATGGCTACCATAATATATCTTGCTATCTTTGAAATAGCTGCCCATGCCATTGGATATAACAAAATCAAGCAAGACAAAATAGAATAAAACTCAGTCCAACAAAATAATGAAAACAACACAGGATTTCACAAGACAATAGGGAATCGACAATGGCTACCACCTTTAGAAGGAGATCCCCCATAGATGCCACACTGCATACTATCATCCTCTGAATAGGTAATCAGACCACCAGCCCTAAACCTGTAAAGTCAGTGAAACACCAAATACCACAAGCATCAAAATGCATTTCACCTCAATAGCTGTCATTGCAGCCTGTTTTCTTGGGATGAGCTGGTTGCTTACGGCAGGGGCTCTTATTTTCCAGCCTGCATGCTGGAAAGGGTTGGGGTCTGGCTGTCTGCCCACTAGCAGTGGCCTGCGCATGGCGCTGGTTCACGAGGAGGTCTTGGTGAATCCTTATTTTCCCCTGCAGTCCCCAAATTGTGCTGACTCACAAAGAAAGGCTGGGGTTCTGGCTCCATTTCTGTTTCTTTTCTTTTCTTTTTTTTTGTCTTTTTCATTTTTATCAGTACCGGGGACCATTTCTGTTTCTTAATATGACAGTTACACTTTGTTTTTAGTTCTAACTTGTAATCCACGTACTTTTTTTTTTTTGCTTTAAAATTTTTCTTATGTTCTCTGCATCTTTGAGGTCTTTATCAAAAAGGCGTGTGGCTAGTTTGAAAGATGTTTATGGATAGTGCTATTCTAAATTCTTTTGATAGTTGCTTTTATACTTTCAAGTGCTATCTTTGTCTTCCTCACTTGACTTACTTTACATTAGGTGTATTTTTGACTATATCTTTTGACTCCCAACTTCACTTTCCCTGCCAGCTTTTGATGGGCAATTATTTCTACAAAACCCAGGTTTAAAACATTTCAATTTCCATATTTTATATCCGTGAGCTAATTATTTCATTAGTTCTTTGTGTTCTTGGTTCTGTGATTGTCAAGGTTTTATATGCTATGTTCTGATACTCTTTCTGTCTTTCTTTCTTTTCATGTGTGTGTGTGTGTGTGTGTGTGTGTGTGTGTGTGTCAGGAATTGAACTCAGGACCTGGCACTTGCCAGGCAGGTGCTTGTGCTGCTGGGCTATATCTCCAGCCCTTATCCCGTGATATTCTATCATTTCCTCTTATCTAGCCCTTAGGTGGCTATGTGGTTTCTGTACTGGTTGTTTTTATTATTATTCAACTTTGACTGCAGCAGTTTTTCTGCACTAGCTCTTTGTAGACGGTTTTACTGAGCAGTTAGACGGAGTAACTTTGGGTGCTCAGGAACTGTGTACATGCAGATATACTATGTTTATCTGCGTCTTACTCACATAGTGATTGCTAACCAAGAGCAGCTAAATGGTCTCTGCTTCTGCCTCCCTGGCAGCTTGCTGCCCCAACAGATAGTTTTATTTTGAGATGGGGTTTCACCATGTTGCCAAGGCTGTGCTCAAACTTGGAGTCATTTCGTTGTCCTTTATTTTGCCAGAGAAGAAAAAGGTTAGAGACATGTTTATTTTACTGTTTTAAAAGTAGGCATCTGTTGCAATTTGCCTTTTATTTATATGATTCCTTTCATTATAGAAGTTGAAACAGTACTGATAAAATTCAAGTTCCTCTTCTCCAGCCCATTCTCAAGGAGTATCCCAGAGGAACTATCAGTTTGGCCTGAATCTTTCCAAATTTTTTCTGTTGGTGAGGAGAAAGCATGCTTCTAGAAATGATTTGTTTTATCTTTTTTTTTATTTTTAATAAACAATTCTGTGTATGTATAGTTTTGCAACTTGTTTTTCTTCACTTAATGACATTTCTTAAATTCCATTTCAATACATACTGAGCTGCCTCTGGTGACAGTGATGGTGGGGTGCTTGTAGAGTATTTTGTTGATCAAGTAAGTAGTAGTTTACTTAAAGCTTCTTAGACCCTTTAGAATGTGTGTTACTTTTTTTCGTTTTGTGTTAGTAGCAATATAGCAGTGAATAATCCTTGTGTATGACCTTTTCAGATAACATGTTTATAGAATAGCTATGAAAAAGTGACATTGACTAATTCTGAGTGTATACATTTTGTACTTTAACAAATGGTGCCTAATTATTCTCCTAAATAATAGCATTGAATGGTAGCATGCGAGTGTTCACATACATCTTCAGTACTTTATATCATCTAACTAAAAAGTTTGCCAGTCTTACAAGGGAAAAGTTGTCTTGTTTTAATTTTCTTTTTGCTGATTACTAATGAGATTTTGGTTCTTTTCATATGTTTATTTGGCTTTTTTGTTGTTGTTCCTCTGCTATATTAGCATTCTTTATTTCTTTTACTGTATAGTTCATTTTGTTTTAGTAGTCTCAGAAATTGAAATATAATTCAAATATATAACTTAAGCTTCAATCTATGAATAGCTACTTTGATTCTCATAGATACTATAGTATAATTTCAATGTTAAGATAAATGTAAAGTCGATTTTTTTAAAGAGAAAGATTTTTTTGTGTTTCCTGTCCTATCTCAGAAGCTCAGTATAAGTATATAAGAAGGCACAGATGTAGGAAAAAATTGAATTATTATTAAAATTTCATTTTTTCTTAGACAAATAGACCTCAGACTTCACGACCCAATCTCATCAAACCAGCTGCCCACTGGCAAGATATGAAAAGATTGGGAGAAGAAAGACCTAAAAAGTCTAGAGCAGCATTTGAATCAGATCAGAGCAGCTATTTTTCAGTGTGTAACAACCCATTGTTTGATTCTGGGGCACAGGATGATTCTGAGGACGACTACGGTGAATTGCTGAATTTTGGGCCTCCTGGAATTTCTGAGTTCCCTAAGCCAAGAGGTCAAAAAGAAACAGAACCCAAACCTGGACCAAGTCATAACCAAGCAGTAAACGACATGGTCAACCCCAGATCAGAGCAGAAAATCATTATCTTTGGAAAAAGTGGCCTTCTTTTCCCAGAAAGTGATCCTTTGGATACTCAGAACCAATCATCTGAGGACTCAGAGACAGAACTTTTTCCAAATCTGGGAGAATCAACTGCCTTGGGGAGTGATCAGGACATTGAAGAAGACTGCTGGCTCAACCATTCTTACTTACAACCTCTAAACCAACAGCCCCGCGAGGTAACCAACCAGGTTGTTCCCCAGGAACGACAGTCTAAAGGAGAACTGGGCCCCTTTCTGTTTGAGCATGAATTCCCAGCATCTGCTTTTCTGAGGCCAGTGTTTCCAAGACCAGAACCCCAGCAAAATAAGGTTTCAAGCACTGCTTCTCTTCAGCCTGCTCAACCAGTAAGAGAGCTTGAAGACCAACAGTTAGCAATTGATGACGAAGAGCCAGGGCCAGCCTTTCCCCTGCAAGGATCTCAGGAGGCCAATTTGGAAAACCTCTGGAGGCAAGAACCTCCTGGGGTAGATCAAGAACTCATTGCACTATTAGTGAAAGAAACAGTAAGTGTTGCTAATTTTTATTACTATTTAATTTTAGACATCATGCTGAATTTTCTTTCATTGCAAAAACCAAAAAAATGCATATGCAGACTTTATTTTCCTAAGACTCACGTATCTAAATATACAGAGTAAAAGAAAATAAACTGAAGACAGGAAAATGGAAACAGAATTTCCTAATCTATACATAACTTCCAAGAAGCTCTCAAGAGTGCTAATGACATACCATGTTGCTGTCATGTTAGTTTTTTCAGAGGCTTCAAACTCCAAATTCAGACCCTTGAAGGAAATTACTAGATTGCTTAGACCTGTGCTGGCATGGCAACCATTAGCCTGTGTGACTATTTATGTTTAAGTGTTTTACAATTAAAGTTACAAGTTTCCAGAGACATGAGTGACATTTTAGTTTCAGTAGCCACATTGGGCTAATAGCAAGCACAGAAGAGGGTTCTGTCATCTCACACTGTTCTGTTAGATACCAGCCAGCAGGACAGCATGGTCCTTTGTGTCTGCAGTCATCTGCAGTTTGCCTTGGAATGAGTCTCCTTAACCTGCTTTACCAGGTTTTCATCTGGCCCACTCAGTTGTGAACTTTTAGAGGGCAGGCATGAGATTGTACCTTGTCTTTGCACTCCCTTGCACGGAAGAGATGCTCAGTCTTTGTTGAGAAAAGAAAGTGGCTCTGCGGAGTGGGGCAGAGGACCAGATGGCCACCTCTGTGACCTTTCTAGACGCTGTCTTTTGTTTAGATGGTGAATCTTAGAACAAGTGCTAAATTTAAGCTATATAAAGCTGTTTTTCAGCTCTTTTCTTAGTCATTCGCCATTTTCTTTCTCCTTTGTCACGTGGTTTTTATTGCTTTCAAAACTGTTCTAGTAAATAAATTTTTCTTTTCATTCCTCTCTAGGAAGCAAGATTTCCAGATGTAGCAAATGGGTATGTTGAAGAAATAATTCATTTGAAGAATTACTATGATTTGAATGTGTAAGTATTCTGCTATGCTTTTTTTCTTTCCTTTCCTTTTTTTTTTTTTTGTGGTAAAATAAATAGAACATTAAACTTAATCATTTTAACCTTTTATACATATCTATGTACATGCAGACTAGGAATTGAAATGGGCCTTCGCACTGAGCTGTGTCCCTAGACTTTTTTTTTTTTAATTTGGAGACATTCTTGCTAAGTTACATGGGCTGTGCTTGAATTTGTGCAAATCCTCCTATTTCAGCCTCCCCAGAGTACTGAAACTTAGAGGTGTACATCACCACACTCAGCTTATTTTAAACATTTTTAAGTGTTTAAAATACCACATGCATCTCCAGAACTCTTATCTTCCCAAAATGAAACTCTGTCCATTCAATATTAACTCTCTGTCCCTTCCTCTCTCACCTCCTACCTGCACCATTCTAATTCTGTCTCATTGGGTTTGCCTAGGGTAGATATCTCACATGAGTAGAACTCTACAGTAGTTGCTGGCACTCTCTCACTGATTGACTTCTTACTTCACTTGGCATTGTGTCTTTTTAATAATCTTGTTAATTCCAACATTAGTCATACAGATTGTGAGTCTTTTGGGACTCTGCAGGCTTATGAAATTGGGATGCCTAGCTGTTTCTGAGCATTGATACTACCTGTGTTTTGGTCAGGATAATAAAAGGTGTTTTCTTCTCTCCAGCTGTAACAGAAAGTGTTCTGTAAGCATTCTGCTATTTGCAGAAACAAGTGGAAGCATTTCTTCAGTTTTTAGTATAAAAGCAATATTTAAAAAATTTAGTGTACTGAAATTAATAAAAAATAAAAAGTCTCTTATAGTCTTTTTCATTCTAGTCTACAGAGGTGAAACAGTTATAAGTTTGTAAAGAATAGGATTGAAATTACTCATAATTTTCAAAGTTAATACTGATATCTTTTAATTAAACAAAAAAGACAGTCTAGTACCAGGTGTGTTGGCACATGCCTATAATCCCAGCACTTTAGGAGGTTGAGTCAGAGGAATCTTGTTTGAACCTGGGCAGCTTAATGACTTAAAATGCAAATGAAAAAAGAGCTAGAAATGAAGCTCAGTTCAGGGGTTCTGGATTCAGTTGTAATAAGTGTCTGCAAAAAGCAAAAAGGTAGTGTACTACACCCTTGTCTTCACAAGTGTCATGTGTACTCTACTCTACAGGGTACAAATAAGACTGTTCCCTCCAAGACTTAAGGAGGAAGGGTCCCGTTTTCCAGGTGCTCATCCCAGCAGAAGTTCTTTTTTCTAATTTGTGTAACACATTGGTGCCCCTCTCCAGAAGCAGCCAGTTAGCAGGTTTTCAACCAGGATTGGATCAGGTTTTCTTAATGTATTTATTTTATCTCTTGAGTTTTTTTTTTTTCTTAATCTAGAGTGGTTCCTTGGTCAGTTTTTAAAAAATATTATGAATTTTTCTTTCCCATATTTTTTACCATAAAAAATTGAAAGATTGCCAGGTTTGGTGATACATGCCTATAATTCCAGCTTTTCAAGAGGCTGAGGCAGGAAAAGCATGAATTCACAGCCGAGCTGGGCAATTTAATGAGACCCTACTTCGAAATAAAATATAAAGGGCTGAGATGTAGCTTGTTATGAGGCCCTAAGTTCAATCCCCAGTACTGCAAAAAAATTTAAGTTGAAAAGCACTGTGGCAAATACCTGTATACTGGTCACCTAGATTATCTGTCATTCTGCTGAAAGATTTTCTCTTTTAATTCCTACTCTTTAAATAATAATTACTATTATTATTTTGTGTACACACACACACACACACACACAAATATAAGGGCTTTTAAGTGTTATTTTAAATCAGTTACCAATAGGTATGGTGGGGCCAGCCTGGGCTGCAAAGTGAGCTCAAGACCAGCCTGAAGTGCAAAGTGAGACCTTATCTCAAAAAGACAAAAAAAAAAATCAGTTTCAGAGCTGGTATGATGGCACATGCTTGTAGTCCCAGGCCTCAGAAGGCTCAGGCAAAAGGATCTCACAGAGTTCAAGGCCAATTTGAACTACATAGCAAGACCTTATCTCAAAAAAAAAAAAAAAGATCAGTTACAGTCATTTGCTTTCTGATACTGAAATTTTCCCAGATTTGGCTAATTTTGGTGTGACCCCCATTAATCTTTGAGTGCTTTCTTGTTTCTTGAAGTATTATAATGCTGTTGGCCTTAGGTTTCCTTAAATCTGAAATCTGTCACTGTTTAAGAAACTCAGAGATTTATTTTCTTCCTTCCTGTTTTGTTTTGTTTTGTTTTGTTTTGTTTTGTTTTGTTTCGTTTCGTTTCGTTTTGTTTTGTTTTGTTTTGAGACAGGGTCATGCTATCTTGCCAAGGCTGGTCTTGAGCTCCCAGAGTCAAGTAATGTTTCCACCTCAGCTGTCAAGTGATGGTACTGCAGGCGTGTGCCCCTATGCCTGGCTTAAACCCAGAGTTTTTAGATTAAGGAGCATCTTAGGGCTCAATATGTTCACCGTTACTACCAGCACGCTACCCTTGAAAATTGTTTCTCTGGCATCTGGGTGAAAAAGAAAAGGAGCTGGAGATGAGCACTTTTTGCTCTGTTCTCTTTTTGGCAGATCTTTGTTACTTGTTACAGGATCTACTGCTGACACAAGACAAAAACTGGAGAGAAGAGTTGAATGAGAATTAGAATTAGATACGTATCCTAGGATGGGGTCATCCTACAGATCTGCAAACGCAAGGGAAGAATGCTGATGAGCAGGAACCTCAGTTACACTGTAGGCTACTAAACACCCAGGCTCTCGTGGCCACTTTGGGATCGCCCCCAGTCCAGTTGTCTGATTTGGTTCTGTTGCCAGGTGAAGAGCTTGGGTAGTTAAACGTGGCTTAAGTCCAGGTGGTAATGCATCAGTATGTGTGTATTTGTTTACTTTTCATGGCTTACCTTCAAAGTAATTTAGTAAGTGATGTACCAAATAGACAAAACTGGTGGGTTTGTAAAATGAGAATCTGCTTGTAAGAAAACATGGCCTGTTCATCAGTCTTGCAGTTGGCTAAATAAAGTCAGCATAATTCAGTTGGCTCACAGAATTTTATATTACCTCAGGTTATAAAAAACAGTAATTAGCAGAAGCTCTTTCATGTTTCATATATTTACTATTACCAGAGTGTTTTTAATTTTAATTGTGAATATGTACTTTTTCCTACTTGCTATTTATAGCTTTCTTAGTGCTACTAAGCTGGGAATGTATCTCAGCACTAGACTTCTCAGCTAGGGACATGAACCTCTGGCTTCAAGCCCCAGGGAGATGGGGAGAACAACTAATTTTCTTCTACATGCTCCAATTCCACACAGTTTAACAGCATTTTCAGTGACTTCATCACATCAATCCCTAACTAATAGAAGGACTCAGAGGCATTTCTATCATCAGTATGTCCATTGCTTTTGTTTGCTTGTTTGTTTGTTTGTGACAGGGGCTTGCTATATAGTCCAGGTTGGCCTTAAACTCCCTGCAGTCCTCCTGCATGCTGGGGTTACAGGCATGCACCACCACTCCCAGCTGTTGCTTTTTAAACTGGCAAAAAGGGTTGAAGAAATAGCTCAGTGACATAAGTGCCTGCCTGGCAGACACAAGGTTGTGAGTTTGATCCCCAGTTCCAAAAAAATAAAATAAGCAAGCAAAAATAGAAATCCAGTGTAATTTTTTTCACAATAATTACTTGTATTTTTATTAGTACATGTTTATAGTACATAATAATTACATTCATCATGGGGAGGTGGTACCATGTAGTAACACATTTAATTCTTTTTACATTCCTTTTTAAATTATTTAGTTGTTAGGGGCTGCAAACATCTTTATTCCTTGGTTGGCCAGTTGTCCTGCATCACTGGGGACTTTTGTCTTTTTGAGACAGGGTCTCACTGTGCAGTTCAGGCTGGCCTTGGGCTTACTTTGTAGCCCAGGCTGATTTTGAACTTGCAAACAGTTCTCCTGCCTCAGCCTCCCAAGTGCTGGGATTTCAGGAGTGTGCCACCACACCCAGCTTTAACTGGAGGCTTTATTTTTGCATTTGAATCAGTAGGCAGGTGTGGGATTTGAAAGCAGTATGAAAGTAACTTCATGTGTTGTTGCAGACTTTGTAATTTTCTTCTGGAAAATCCAGATTATCCAAAGAGAGAAGACCGGATCATTATCAATCCCAGCAGCAGCCTGCTCGCGAGCCAGGATGATACAAAGGCAAGTGTCCTGTGTAGGTTTTTCTGTCTTACCTGAAATATGCTTTATTGGACACATTTTTTATGCATTTCATTGGAATCTCCCACCTTAAGCCACTGTGAGTTGCATATTTAACTCCTCTTTTGTTGTTACTCTTAGCTTCCTTTGCCCACAAAGTAAGCAAATCTTCCACATTTTTGATCCAATAAAGCAAGTTCCCAAAGTGAAACAAGAATCACCATGATCCTTTGTATTGTTTTAGTAGTTTATTTTAGCATTATGAAAATTTTCAAATATACCAAAAAGTTCAAATATTTTACATAATCACCTGTTGAGTCACCACCAATCTTACTAAAAGTTAACATTTTACTATCTCAGCTTTATGGTACCTCTTCCCTCTCCATCAGCACATCTTCATTTCTTTACAGTGCACTTCAGCATAAATGGCAGAAACTTTAGTACTGTATACCTCCATGTAAATACTTCTGTGCACAGATCATTACTCAGAGCTTGCTATCTGATAATTTTTTATGTTGTAAGATTTGTGTACAGTGTATACACCCGTTTAATGGAATCTCATATGAAGGTTAAGCAGTTTGATTTTTAAAACCCGAAATTATTGTCTTCATTTGTGGTCTGAATTAGCATTCAGTATGCTGTATGCTGAGGGAAAGTACAGTTCAGAATTAACTGCATGAAGATCTAGTAATTGATCCTTCTGCTCCCCACAACTTTTTTGAGTATCTCTTTTATATATTCTGTACCAGGGAGAGAAAAAATGACTTTCTGAACATTTTCAGGAGGGAAGATGGCTGAAAGATTGGATTCAAATAGCTAAGCTGCTTTCCTGGTTCTTCCTAGTAGAACTAATCTTAGACTGCACACATTTGGATCTCTGATCCACCACTTGTCCATCCTTGTGACAGGGCTGATAACTTCAAGTGTAATTGTGAAACCAAAGAAAATTATCCTTTCCTGAAATACGTAATTGTTAAAATGATTTTCTTCTTTTGGAGAATGCACTATCTGGCCTTCTAATTTTCTGTTTCTCTTATTTCAGTTGCCTAAAATAGACTACTTTGACTATTCAAAATTGAGTCCACTTGATCAGCGTTGCTTCATCCAAGCTGCTGACCTCCTGATGGCTGACTTCAAGATGCTCAGCAGTCAGGACATCAAGTGGGCCCTGCACGAGCTCAAAGGACACTATGCAATCACCCGAAAGGTGCTGTCTTTCTTCTTCCATTGGGGTCACATCCTTGACTGCTTCGGCCTGTGATACAGAACGAGTCCTCCTGGCAGAGATTGGGATGGCAGTGATAGCTGAGAATAAGAGTTGGTCTGGGTAAATAATAGATGAGGTATTTGCTGGTCAGGAAAACTAAAAGCAAAGAAATGCTAGAGTGAAAACAGGGAAATTCTACTTTGTCCAGAAAGATCTGGAGGACAGGACACTGTAGTTTGGGATGTATAGTAGAAGAGTGTGAAAGATTACTCTTCCCTGATTTGCTTTGACTCACAGCAAGTTACAAAGCATCGCCCAGGTAACTGTTTCCAGTTACACAGGTGAGGTCTGTAAGGAGCCAGGAACATAGCAGGGTGTCTGTCATCGTGGTCTACTTCAGAAGAGGATAGGCAGCTTCCGACAACTCCCAACATTTTCCTCCAAGTCCCCAAATAAGTTAGCACATAAAGGGGCCTGTTCCAGGACATAGACAAGTGCTGGTGACTGGTGGGTGGCACAGGCATGCTAGGTTAACAGGGTCCACTCCACAGAGTCTGTTCCATCCCAGCAGTCAGTCAAGATCAGAGCTTGTGTGCCGACATGTAGTTCATTCCTCTTGCCATTAAATCTTCTGCCGAAGTGCTTTGTGATTCCCAACAAAGATTGACCTTTACCCCACAAAGGACAAAGGTAGAGTTGTTCTAATGGTTCAGATTCCCACTGGTCTTTCCTGAAGGAACAAGAGTCCCAGGTAAAGGCAACTCATTCTGAGTCAAGGTCAAGCCCCACCATTGCCAAGAAAATCCAGGCAACTGCCAAGAAGCCCCTAGGCAGAATTACTCTGAGGGCAAGAGTTTACTACTTTCTGTTTCTAAATCTCATTCCCATACTGTAACATAGGGAATGCTCAGTTCAAAATTGAATAAGCTTTCTCCCAAAGTAGCCACCACCGTGAGATAAGGGTCTGTGATACATACGCTGTGCCTCCATCCTCACTGGCCCGGGCTGAGACACAGTGCAGAGCTCACCCAGAGAGGAGACACTGCATCCAGAGGGGTACCCCCTCCATAGCTCAAAGGTCTGGTCTTCCATGGTCCATGCCTTTGTGCAGAGTAGGCTTTGTGGCTGTGCTGCAGCTAATTAGTAGGTCTGCTGCAGTCCTGAGGCAGCGTATACACAGGGATTTATCCAGATGATCTCCTGAGTGCCCTTTGCTGGCTTTCATTCTGTGGTTTGTGGAATACTTTCTGCTTCAGGAGCTACTCCATTCTTGTGCCTAACTTCCTTGTCCCCTTCCTTGTACTTTTGATCATTTATGGGTTTTCTTGTGAACAAGCATTATTTTCTAATTTTTTATTATTTTGAAGGTAGTAAAATATACCAGAACAAAACCGAACAAAGCCAGTTAAGACAGTGCAGTGAAATTGGTACAGAATGTCACAGCAGGTTACCAAGATAACAAGAATAGGTACCATAATGTATCTTGTTATCTTCACAATAGTTGTTCTTTCACTCAGGTATAGCAAAATAAAATGAAATACAGGACATTATAGAACTTAACAAAACAGAATATTGAATAAAGTAGTACCATTATGAGAATAAAGCAAAACAGTGGTAAAAATATTTGCCTTCAAGGATATGGTAGAAGGAAATCCCCCTTATTTGCTATATCATACATATGGTCAACCTTCCAAGAGATGCTCAGATCTCTGCCTCCCATTTGCTAAGGGGGAGGGATATTTGATTCTCCGCCTGTGCACCAATAGACTCACTACCGCTTACCAGGGAGGCGAACTGGTTGCTTGGTTTCCCAGCGCCAAGTTCCAACATGGCGCGGATCTCAGGATTTGCTGGTGGTTCTCCCCCTGGGTGTCGGCAGCTTGTCAAGCCACAGTGGTTACCAGGGGGACAAGCTGGTTGCTTCATCATTTAGGTTTTTAATGAAGGCATCTGTTTGTTTGTGGGTAGTTTGGGAGTTACATGAGCTTTGAAATGGGATGACCTGGACTGTCTGAATTAAAGTGGTTAAGAGGACATGCTGTGAGGCAGAAGCTAAAGCATGATGTGACTCCTTCAGATTTAGGACTTGTTCTACAACACATACAGTGAGTGTATGAGAATTCTGCCCTGTAGTCAGTCAGCTGTTGAGTGTAGACAGAGGATATGGCACACCCAAAGATATCTTTGAGTTACACCACATACCACTGCCTCTCCGTGCTGCCACAAACATTGTGATTGCTCAGGGGAGTTCATGTTCATTGTGAAGGTTGGGTCACATTTTCCTGAACTTGTCTTTGGTTTTTTGGTACTGAGGAGTGAGTCCTGGGCCTTCATAGTACATTAGAAGTACATCTGCACTGCCTTGCCCCTATTTTGTTTATTGAATTTTTATTGTGAGACAGGATTTTGCTACAAGTAACCAACTTGTCCAAGCTCGGTTCCAACTTACAACCTCCTGCCTCAGTTTCCCAGAGTGCTAGAATAATAGATGTGCTCTACAAGCCTGATTTTTCTCATTTTTTATAATAAACAGCTTACGTATGTCATGACAAGCCCCTGTCTACCCATCCTTCAGCCTTGGTACTTGACTTGTGCTCATTTTTGGTTCATCTCTGGCCCTACTCATTTTCCTTCTTTTCACTCAGTTTTTTAAAGCGTGATGAATTTGCTTACATTTAGTGCCATTAGTTGGCATACAGCACGTACAGGGAGTGGTGAGTGATGGTATTGTTTAAGTGTTTTGTAACCTGTGAGTTCTCACTCCTCGCTTTATTTTTTTCTTACAGTTTCTTGAGAAAACATACGAGTTATTTATTCTGTAGGTTTTGACGTCTAGATTTCTCTAACAGCACCCATACAGTGTCATTAGTCCTGTGTCCCCTGAATTTCCTGCAAATTGATAGTTAAATCTCGAATCTTCATCAAACATAGGTTTAATTATATTTTTTTCTTCTTCCATTTGATTTAATTGCTGTTCTACTACTTGTTAGTCTGTGATTGAAGCAAGTGTCTTAAACTTGCTGGGCCGCAGTTTTCTTACAGTGTAGAAGGGGTTCCTTGCAGGCTATGACAAGAACTAGAGAATTGTGTGTATAAAGCCTAGCCTGTGCCAGGTTGTAGTAGATGGGTTCTCCTGGCATCACACTGTTTTGGTGTGCTACAGAGGAATTTTTAAGCTTGAGGGCTGTTATGAGAGTCAGTCCTCAGCATGGTATTACAAAAACTCTTCGCAGCTCATCCTCTTTAGCTTTGCAGCACTGAATTCAGGCCAGAGAGGGCTGTCACCTGGGCTCTATTTATGAAAGACTCCTATAGGTGGTCTTCTTGGTGACCCTCATGCAGCCTGCAGTATTTCTATACCTTTTCTTTTTTTTTCTTTTTTTTTTTTTTTCTGGTTTTAAACTAAAAGAGCAAAAGCGATGTCTCGGTGCTATTTCTAATGATTTTTTTTTTTTTTTTTTGAGTCAGGGTCTCACTGTGCAGTTCAAGCTGGGCTTGAACTCACTATGGAGCCCAGGCTGGCCTCCAATTCACAGTAATCCTCCTACCTCAGCCTGCCAAGAGCTGGGCTTACAGGTGTGCACCACCACATTGAGCCCAGTGAGTAATATTTAAACTAGAGGAAGCAGGTAAAACCTTAACACTCAAGGCAGCATTACCAGTTCATTTCCACAGTTAAAAAGTCAGCGATTGCTAAAGTGTGTGTAATTTGCCCCTTTATAAGTGTCTTCTTCTGTTGCCCAGAAGATGTTCTAAACACTTTTCTTATTTCCTCTGCAGTTTGCTTCAGTGTTTTGAGTATATGCTCATGCTTTACGGATCAGCTTTCAGAGCTACTGAGGCTTTGTCTTGTGGTAGGTAGGGAACCTAGATCTTAACACATACCACACACATATCCTCATCTTTTCAGTACATTTTTTGCTAAATCTGTGTTTTGAGTTTTCTGTACCTATGGCATTATTCATTGCTAGGCAAGTAATGTTTACATCTTTAAATTTTCTGTTTATCTGAAGAGTTTAAACGTTGCCTCCATTTTTCAATTTGCTTTGGAGGTTAGGGTTTTTTTGTGTTTTGACTTTCTAATTTAAGTCTTGCCACAGCTGTCGTTTCATCCTTCCATTCCCCACAGTCTCCCCCCACCCCCCACCATTCTGCACACTGCTGTCACCCTGAGCTCTGTCTGCCTTCACATGGTCCCAGGAATTCCCTTTACCTTGCTCCTGGCTGTTCCCTGTGCCCTAGATCCTACCACTGTCTGCCTGGTTTACAGACCCACACAACTGAGCCATCCACTGGGGTGAAAATACTTCTCTACCCAGATATGGCTGGCTCTTTTAAGTCAATTCATTGATCACATGCCTTAGTCCATGTACCAGGAATATCCTAAAAACAGTACAAGGTCCCTTCCTTTTTGGTCCTTCATACTGGTGGATTAGTGCCACCTTTCTTAAACTATGCTTGAAGCATTTACAGCCAAATGGATGGACCTTGATATCATGCTCTTTAATCAGACACATATGTGTAAATATTGCATTATCTCTGGTGTGAGAGACTGAAAGTATAAATAAGAACTGAAATATATAATAGATATTGTGAAATAAGTAATTGTTCAAAAAGAAAAGAGAGTTGAGGGGTAGAGGATGGAAGGGAAAAAGGATAAAATAGAAGCAAAGCTTTGTAAATAAGGAGGAGGAGAGAGAAAGAGAATAGGAAAGAGAAGAGGAACTAAGGTATATCATGTCCAGGTACTTGTTCCCTATGATGAGTATGATCGTTGTGTATATCTAAATTGTACCAGTAAACTTATTTAAATAAATAAACTGAATAGTTAATTTAAACAATGATAATAACTTCTGTTCTCCTAAGTGGTCATTCTCAGGTCCTTCTCATTCTCCATGTCCTAGGCCTCTTAGATTTCTCCTGCCACATGGCTTTTATAGTTATCTTGGTCTCTGCATAGATGGCTATTCCCGTCTCTGAATCCAACCACTGCCAAGCTCCAGAGCCCTTGTGGCATTAACATACTCATTGTAGTGTTTCTTAAAAGAACTGTGACCATTGTCACAGATACTTTAAAATTTTTTTATTAATACTGTATGTGTTTTCGTTACATAATGATCACATTCCTTGTGTGGAGTTGATACATGAACATCAAGCATCTTAATTCCTTTTTTTATCCCCTTCCCCATCTCTCAATCCCCTGCCCATTTGAGGAGGATGTCTCCTTATTTTCCATTATCTCTCTGTTATTATGCTCTTTACTTGTAATTTAGGTTTCTTGTGTAAGAGAAGCCATGTAAGATTTAAGTTTGTCTGTCTGATTTATATTATTTAACATTCTGTTCTCAAGGTGTATCCATTTTCCTACATAAAACTTGATGGCAGAATAATACTACATTGTGTATAAGTAACCACATTTTCTTTATCCAGTTATCTGTTGATGGATGTATAGACCGCTTCCAAAATTTAGCTATTATGAATTGTGCTTCTGTAAAGAGAAAGATCCTGAGGAAACAAAATTCCCAGTCTGTTTTTTGAGGGATCTGCATACTAATTTGCACAGTGACTACACTAGTTCACATTCCCAGTAATATAGATTTCTCTTCCTTGCACTTACTTGATTTCTTGATGCTGGTCATTCTTTCTGGGGTAAAATGGACTCTCATTGTTGTTCTAATTTACATTTCTCTAATGGCCAGTCATGTTGAGTGTTCCTTTTTAGCCATTTGTACTTTTGTAGTGTCTATTCATTTCACTTGCCAGTTTTTTTTCCCATTTTTTGATTGTATATTTTATTTTGAGAAGTGTAGTTTTTTTAGTTCTTTACATATACTAGATACTAGTCCTCTCTCTGAGGAATGGCTAGCAAAATTTTTTCTCATTCTATAGGTTTCCTTTCCATTCTGTTGGTTCTTTCTTTTCTTTTCTTTTTTTGCTTTGTTTTGTTTCTTTTGCTGTGCAGGAGTTTTTTAATCCTATTTGGTGATTTTTCAGTATTGTTCCCATGCAACCAGGGTTCTGTTCAGAAAGTCCTTGTCTGTGCCTATATTTCAATAGTTCTACCTATTTTATCTTCCAGCAGGTTGTGTTTTTGTTTTAACCTTGAGTTCTTTGATCCATTTTGATTTTAGTTTAGTTATGGTGAAAGATACGGGCCTACATTCAGTCTTCTGCATTTGGACAGCCAGTTTTTCCAAAACCATTTATGAAAGAGGCTGTGTTCCTACAGTGTATGATTTTGATCCCTTTGTCAAAGAACAAATAGTAGAATGTGCCTAGGTCATTTCCGCATCCTCTGTTCCGTTCCATTGATTTTCAGGTCCGCTTTTATGCTGGTACCATACTGTGTCATATATGTCCTAAAAGTCTTACCAGACTGTATACTTGACTCTCAGAACACTTAAATTGCTGTTTGATTTATGAGTGTGAACAAGCTGAGGAGAAAATATTCAGACAGCACCCGAAGGAACACTCTTCTTGAATACCTGTTCTTTCTCAAGTCCTCTGAGCTTTCTGAGTCCTTCCTGAGGGTTCTGGAGGGTACTGGAGCGTGGCTCTGTGGGAGAAGCATGGCTAGCATGCACTGCAGCCTGGGTTCCACCCCAGCTTGCACAAGGTGTCGGGTTCCACTTCAGCACTGCAAAAGAAGCACACCACCAGGTAGTTTCCTTCTAAAGAGTTTGCAGTCTGGTGGAGGAGCAGAAATGACTAGGACAGTGTGATGAGTGCTCTAAAATTAGGTGAATCAATCCATGAGAGCACTAGGAAAGAATTGTCATTTGAGCAGAGTCTTGACAGAAAGATACTTTCACCAGAGGAAAAATTTGTACAAAAGCTGAGAGTTGAGGTATGTAACTAGCAGGCCTCAGAAAAAAGAAATTCTCCTCTTATAATTTGATTTTTTCTGTTCTACTTAGGTAGGCTTTTAGTGAATAGTAACAAAACTTACTAATATAACTATTAAAGTAAGATTTTGGAGACTCCTTTAATTTATGTACCACATTGTTAAAGCTAATTCTGACAAGTATCTATTTATGTTTATATCATGTGGGGCTTTCCCCCTGCTATTAGAAGCAATAAATAAACAATGACTTCCTTAGACTGCCACTCAGGAGACTCTTCCTGTGTCACCACTATTCAGGAACTCTGAGTTCCATTCAAGTCTGATTTTGTGCTGATAAGTGGCACCTATGTTTTAATTGCTTTTTTGTAAAACATAATTTATGGTCCTCTCTGATTTCCATTCTTAGATTCTTGCAAACAGCCTAAGTTCAAAGGTGGAGTGTCTACCTTTATGTAAAAACTTAGTAAATATTAGTAGTCTTGCAACTATGTACAAAAGTGTAACTTTAAAATCTAGTAAGGCAGCCAGGCATGGTGGCACACACCTGTAGTGCCAGCATTTGAGAGGCTGAGGCAGGAGGATTGCCATGAGTTCAAGGCCAGACTGAGCTACATAGTGAGACCTTGTCTCAAAAAACAAAACCAACAAACAAACTAAATCCTGGTAAACCATGCAAGGAGGAACTCAGCATTGTGAGTGAAACTGGGAGCTTAGCTGTGTTTTACATTTTTGTTTTCCATTTGCGGTGATAATCTTTTCCCTTTCTCGATTTTTAGGCCTTTTCCGATGCCATTAAAAAGTGGCAGGAACTATCACCAGAAGCCAGTGGAAAAAGGAAAAAGAGAAAAGAAATGAATCAGTATTCTTACATAGATTTCAAATTCGAACAAGGTAATGGAACCGTGTGGAGCCACATGCGAAGCTTCAGCACCTCCATGCTAGGGAAGGAAGTCCCATGACCTGCTGTCTTTAGGGCACCCCAGCCAGGCCCAGCAATGGCTGACAAGTACAGTTTCTGGAAAGTGGTTGTGGTTGCTGGCTCCCTTCTCCCTTCTTTGGGTACAACCTGGTGGGGGAATCCTGTGCTGTCTTAAAATTCACACGTGGACCAGGGAGAGCACTGTTAAGCATGGCAAGGACTAGTCTTGAAGGCCTGATGTGAATTGGCTGCACCATTAGTACCAACCTGGTATCGATTACTTACCAAGGAGGGCTCCCTTTCACACTGGAAAGCATGGCTGGTAGCAACATGTTCCTCTAAGACTGTTATTTGCTGATGAAACTGCTGAAAGCCCTTTCAGCTCTTATCACCCAAAACAGTGGACTTGAACTTTATAACAGATTTCCTTCAAGTCGCATATGTCCAAGAAGAGTTTATACAACTATTCCATAAATTATGTCACAAGTAGAGGCCCTTTCCTTTTTTGTTTTCTGTTTGTACCGTATTGCGTGTGTACTTAGTGACAAAACTTGATTTTGAGTATGCCTAAAAGTGCCATACGATGCATAGAGTTAGGAAACATTTGGATTTCTGGAGTCCTCCGAGTCTGTATTCTCATCTCCTACCCGTGACTCCTGAGATCCCTCTCCTAATCAGTGGAGCAGTCCACTCCCATTGGTCTCCACAGGGTGAGAAAGCAGGGACAGTGTATAGCTAAACTAACCTAGCTGTTGAAGCCAGGCATCCCTAGTATGTAGTCTTGCAAACTGTCTTTAACTTTTCTCTCATTGTTGAGACAAAATACCTGATGCCCAAAATTAGGGAAGGGAATGTTTGCTTAGCTACAGTCTTTTGGAGGTTTCAGTCCTTACTCAGCTGGCTTTAAGGCAGGGTGGCGTAACTGAGGGGCAGTCATTCACAGCAGCTATAAGCAGCAAAAGCAAAAAGGGCAAAAAAAGGGGAAAACATGCCTTCTTCCCTCCTTTATTTTGCATGCTGGCTCCCTACCCCTGTACCGGTGCAGCACTCACACCACCAATCCCTGCACTAGACAACAAACCAATCAGAAATGCTAGACTCAGTTACCTCCATGACTAAGTCTTTGAGGGGACATTTAAACAAACCACAACACAGTCTTTGCCTCTGACTTTCAGTGGTGGTCCACTGAAAGCAAATGGTCCACCTTTCTGTCAGACCAGAATGTACCCTCCCGCATTTTCCTGCTGAAGTTGCAGGTTGTGCCTCTGAAAAGATTAGGGTCTGTTGCCTCTCCGTTGTCCTGAATGCCCTTCTCTGGCTCAACAGTGGGTTTCTGAAGGGTGAGGTCCAAGCCCTTGTACTCTAGCTGCACTCATGATGCGGAGAACAGTGAGCTTCTGGATCTGCGCTGTGGTCAGTGCCGCCTAAGAGGTACTTCGCTTTTAAAATCTGAACACAACCTGTGATTGACTCACAGTATGCTGTGGCTTTTCACCCCATTGCTCTTGAGCCACATATCTCTCTTTGAATTTTAAGAGCTGAATATATTTATTGAGAAAAAGAAAGCTTCTGAGAGACAGAAGGAGTGGGTTGTCCTACACAATGATTCTTAAATTGTACTTTATTAGATAATTTTTAAGGACAACAAATATAAAGAATAAAATACATTTGATTTTTTTTCTTCCTTTTTTGAGGCAAGGTCTCACTATGTAATTCAGGCTGCCTTGAACTCACTAGGTAGCCCAGGCTGCCCTGAAATTTGTGATTTGCCTGCCTCAGCTTCCCAGATCCTGGGGCTGCATGTGTGTACCACCACCCTGGCTTGATTTATTTTCAAAGTTTAATATTTATGACATGCTTAGCCTTTCTTGCCAGCTTTTTGTAAGCACATAGCTAAGAATCCCTTGTCTGTTGCCAGAATCCCACCTGTTCAGCTTGTTTTCCATCCAAGCACTTTTAAGCTATCCATTGCTTGGCTTAAAAAGAGACAGGAATTTACCTTTGCTCTTTTTTCATGGTTTTATATGCTGACTTCTCATGAAAAGTTGAGTTAGAACTTAGTGATTGTAATTCTAGCACTCAGGGGGCTGAGGCAGGAGGAATGCTGTGAATTCAAGGCCAGCCTGGGCTACATAGTATATTTAAGGTCAACCAGAACAAACTACACAGCAAGACTTAAATTTTTTTTTAATCTAAACCAGTCAGTAAAAAATACAAACATCACCCACCTCTAACAAGGATGAACAAGAGACAGAGAAAAAAATAAATTCTCAGTATGAGGAATTAACACTCCTGGCAGGGGTTACATTACAGGTGTTCATGTGGTCAGCGTGCTTGTCCCTGAGGTGGGGCACAAGGCGAGGATGTCTTACCGTCACTGCCGTTCACATAGTACTGGAATTACTACCCAGTGCAATAAAGGAGAGAGAGAGAGAGATGAGAAGTGTAGCTCTAAAAGGAAGAAATAAAACCGACTCAATATGGGTGTCTTGTCTACCTAGAAAACTCCTAGGACTGGTAAGTGCGTTCAGCAAGGGTTCGGAGTGTAGGACCCATCTTCAAAAAGCAGTTGCATTTGTATATACAATGATGCCTCGGTTCATGAATTTAATTCTTTCTGTGATTCTGGTCGCAAACTAAATTAGACAAGAACTGAGTCAACTTTCCCCATTAGATAACACTGAACCTAACCACTGAATTTGATTCAGCTTTCATCTAGTACGATTTGTGACCAGAATCATGAAAGGAAGTTCATGTACTGAGGTGCCACTGTACTAGCAATGAGCAAGTGGAAACCAAAGTGTAAAATGCAGTTCCATTTATAGCCTCTCCAGAAGCTTGCACAGGACTTGGGTTGTGATAAAAATTATAAAACACTGGTGTGAGACATTCAAGATCTAAATAAACGGATAAGAAACTGTATTGTTGAGTTGGAAGACTCAACATAGGGAAGATGTTAGTGATCCCCAAAACGATGGGTTTAATGTACTTTCCTTTAATAGCCCAACAAAGTTTTTTTTTTTTTTGTAGACATCAAGTTTATGTAAAAATTTATATAGAAAAATAAGGAAATAGAAGGGCTTACACAATTTTCCTTGGGTTTGGTTTGGTTTAGTGTTTTTCATTTTTTATTTGTATTTGTACATGTTAGCAGTACAGAATGATCTGAAAAAGGATGTAGTGAAGGGAATCATCTACCTGGTGATAACTTACTGTGTAGCTAGACTGAGTGGTGTTGGTGGAACAGAATAGAGTTCAGAAATGATCCACACAATACTGGTTTATTGAGCTATAACTCACCCAATTCTGTCTTTAGTATGTGTGCAGTTTACAGTAATCACAATTAATTTTAGAATTATTTCCATCACCCCAGGAAAGAAATCATTAGTTGTCACAGCTATTTCCTTTCACTTCTACTGTTTCCCTACAACCACTAATCTAATTCCTCTCTTAAAATTTACCTGTTCTGAACAGCTCATATGGATAGAATCATATTATATATAGTTTGCAACTGAATTAACTGTTTTTTTCATTTAGCAAACTATTTTCAAGCTTCATCCATGTGCATTATTCATGCTTTTTCCTTTTATTTCTAAATAATACTCATTGTGTGGCTTTAATACATTTTATTTATCCCATTTATCAGTCAGTAGAAGGTTTAGTACTCAAGTCATTGTTCAGGGGAGGAAAAACAGCCTTTTACATAATTGGTGTTAGAGCAATTGGCTGTCCATAAGGAAAAAAACCTGAGTCTCATTTATTATACAAAAACCAAATCAGTATAAAATCTTCAGAAAAACAAAGATCTTCATGTTCTGGGGCTAGGTAAAGAGTTCTTAAATTTGATACTAGCAAAATTCAGACATTTTAATCTTCAGAAGACTGTGTTTCCATGTACGTGGTGGGCATGTGTGTGTGCCCAGGGCCTGTGTTTTTTTGGTCATTTTGAGACAGGGTTTCACTATGCAATTCAGGCTGGCCTTGAACTCACTTTGTAGCCAGTTCAGGCTGGTCTTGAATTCACAGTGATCCTCGCCAAGTGATGCAAAGCTAGTCACAGCCGTGCTGAGGTTCCAGCCCCAGTGAACTGACTTCAGAGCCAGCTGTGCTTTAGTAGTTTCATAAAATAAAAAACTGGTTATATTTTTAAAACCTTGTAAGAATAAGAAAAAAGGAGAATAAAGACAAAGTATACCAGACAAGAGATACAGTAAATATTGTTGAAAATCAAGAGGTTATTCAGAGTAGACTAGGGATAAATCAGTTGAAAACCTGAACAACATGATTTCCTAGAATATAAGTTGCCAAGTCAGTGGAGGAAATGTAAAACCTGAAAACATCAGTTACATACCTGATACTTGTTATTCTGCTGTCCTTTATTCCAGATGTTATTTAGTATAGTAAATCTAGTTATTCCTCTTTAGGCTTTTCTATGATTTTCAAAATTACACGCACACATACAGTGCATTCACATCTACTAGAAGTTGCCAAAATTAAAATGCGATGACACCAGGTGTTAGCACAGAGGGCTCCTGGAACTCGCATACCTTATAGTCACAGGGAGGGTGTAAATTGGAACAGCTTTGATAAGCTGGCATTATATTCTATAGCTTAAACGCAAGCGTATCTTGTGATTTAGCAGTTCCACTCCTTCAATTAAGTTAAAGATATGCATTCACCAGTGAATAGCTACAGGCTTCTCTGTTCATAATAACCGTAAACCCAATGTCCTTGTTGAAAGAATGGGTAATAAACTGTACAATGATACTTCAGTTCACAAACTTCATTCTTTCCCTACAATTCCGGTTACAAACCAGATTGAACTTAACCATTGAGTTTAGTTCAGTTCTCATCCACTGCGGTCTGAGAACAAAATTGGGGAAAGAGTTAAACTCATGAGCTGAGGCACCACTTTTATATTCACACAGTACACTGCCAACAGCGTAGGAGAGCTTTCCAGTTGGAGCGGAGTGGGGGAGAAGGCAAAGATGGCCAGAGGTGTGTGCTAGATTAGGCGTGATGAGGGGCATATCCTCTGGAGTAGAATGGTTACAGGAAGAGCCCTGAAATGTACCTTGGTGGGGGACTGAGCATCAAGAGACAGAGTGGCTACCTTGGGTTCCTAGCAAACAGTTGTCTGCATGATTTTGCATTGTTCTATATCTTCTAGGTGACATCAAAATAGAAAAAAGGATGTTCTTTCTGGAAAATAAGCGGCGACATTGTAGGTCCTATGACCGGTGTGCCCTCCTTCCAGCTGTGCAGCAAGAGCAGGAGTTCTATGAGCAGAAAATCAAAGAGATGGCAGAGGTAGGAAGACATGCTCTTGCTTTTGCCATATATTTCTGTGGTTCTAGCTCACTCACTATCAGGCCCTGGTACCAAAACTACTGTCCTTTAAAATTTCCCTTCTCTTAGGGGCTGGGGATTTAGCTCAGCGGCATAATCGCCTGCCTTGCAAGCAGGCAGTCGTGAGTTTGATCCCCGGTACCGATAAAAAAGGAAAGAGACAAAAAAAAAAAAAAAAAAAAAAAAAAAAATTTCCCTTTTCTTGTTTTAGCCTATTTTTTGTGTTTTAGGATGATGATGATGGTGGTGTGCTCAGGATCAAATCCAGACACACTTAAATGCATTTCAAGCTCCAAGATTTTTCTTTTCTTTAGACTAATTACATGACAGTTTTTAAAAAGAAAAACTGGCTAGATATGGTATCACATGCCTGTAATCCCAACATTCGGGAGGCTGAGGCAGAAACATTGCTCTAAATTTGAGGCCAGCCCGGGCTATATAAGCAAGCTCAAGGCCAGCCTGCACTACATTGTAAGCCCCTGTCTCTGAATAAATTGAAAGATAAAAACTGGGTTTTGTAATAATGGTAGTGATGAATGTTTACTTTTATAAATAAGGTTGCTAACAAATTTTCACTGAAGATTGTTAACAAATTTCCACTGAAAATTAGTAACATCTCTTTCACCTCCCTCAACCTCCATTGATGGAGAAAAGCCAAAGAGGGATTCAGTAATCTTCCATGCCAGCAACTCTTGTGTGACCCTACATCCCTAAGGACTCCAAGGGAGCCTGTGAGATCACAGCTCTGCCATGATGATGCTGAAGTGTTACTCACTTAGCTCTGCTGTGTGACTCTGCACTGACAGAACTAAAGTGAGACTGCCTGCCTTAGCAGGAGTCAAACCAGTAGCGTAGATTGTCCTCATCACCCAGCACGCACATTTGTTTAAATGCCAGTGTCACGCGAAGCTGTCTTTGATAAAGAAGTGCTACTTTATAAAATTTTGACCCCTGAAGACATCTTTTCAGTATTTTGTGTGACAAAATGAAAAGCACACATAACATTTTCCTGTTGCACATGGGCAAGTGATGCTTGCCTTGAACAAAGACACTTGTGTTACTGAGTGGAAACCAACTGAATTAACCTGGGTTTTTTTGTGCAGAGGGATTGTTTTTGGTTTTGTTTTGTTTTTTCTCCACTGCAGAACACATTTTTTACTGGAAAAAATGACTTACAGAAAAACCAGTTAACACATTCATGATGAGGCCATTACTCATGAGCCTCACTGGTGGATGGCTTGGTCCGCTGGTGGTGTGTGCATGTACCACTTCTGCTACCAGTGGTGCAAGCCATCTGATGGCACATGTATGTACTGCCAGTGTTTTAAGCCAGCAGGAACATGTTAATCAAAATTGATTATTTGGCATACATTTTCTCTTTTTCTTTTTTTTTTTTGTCTTTTTCGTTTTTATCGGTACCAGGGATTGAACTCACGACTGCCTGCTTGCAAGGCAGGCGCTTATGCCGCTGAACTAAATCCCCAGCCCCCGGCATACATTTTCTCAAATAAAATAAGTGACTTTTTTTCCTTTTGGTTCAGAGGATTGAACCGGGGAATGTGAGCTACATATACACTCACACTTTTTTTATTCCCCGACCCTTAAAATTTTTGAGACAGCCTCACTACATTGCCCCAGCTGGCCTCAAACTTGGAATACACTTTCCTCAGCTTCCCATGTAGCTGGAATTACAGGTGTGTGACCACACCCAGCTGAAATGATTATTTTTAACCACATTTGTTAATGTTACTACTAATCTCTTCACAAAAGTATATAAAGAATTGGCAAACTGCTAGGTGCTCATCGTAGTCGTTACTCTTCTTTATGTCCAGATTGTCCCATCTCTGGCCAATGGCAGCCCTTCAGGTTAGTCCCTCTGTCCTGACCCTGGTAGTTTCCTGACCTTGCTTCTGGCAGGGCAGGGTGACTGAGATTCAACTTCTGCATTCCCCAACCTGGAACTGGAATCAAGTTTCTCTGAAACTGCTTTATTTTCTGTCCTGGGAATTTTATGCTGAGATTTCTGCTTAGAACTTGTTTTACAGGTGGGTTTTTGGGGTTTTTTCACTGTTTCATTTTATTTTTGTTTTTTTGTTTTTTTGTTTTGTTTTTTTTTTGGTACTAGGATTCAAACTCACAACCTCGTGTTTGCAAGGCAGGCACTTACACCGCTGTGCTACATCCTTGGCCCTATGTTTGTAATTCTTTTTTTTTTTTTTTTTTTTTTTTTGGTCTTTTTGAAACAGGGTCTCTCTATGCAGTTCAGGCTGGCCTACGCTGGTCTTGAACTCAAAATGATCCTCCTGCCTCAGCCTCGCAAGTGCTGGGATTACAGGAGTGAGCTATCACGCCCGGCTCATAATTCTTATTTTTTAATGTTAAAAATCTTGGTTCTTAATAACATAACTTGTCAGATTATATCAAACTAAGAATGTAAAATTAAAAGGAAAAAGAAAGAAAAAATATAAAATTAGCCAGATATGGCATACATCTATAATACTACCTGTTCAGGAGGCTGAGTCAGGAGGAGGATTGCCTGAGCCCCCAAGTTTTAGGTCGGCTTTGGCAACATACCATAGTAAGACCCAGTGTCTTAAGAAAAAGAAAGGAAAGAAAAGAAAAAAATACTAACTCAAAATATACTGTACTGGCGGCTAGGACTTTAGCTCAGTGGCATAAGTACCTGCCTTGCAAGCATGCAGTTGTAAGTTCGATCCCTGGTACTGATGAAAAGATATATATATATATATATATATATATATATATATATATTACTGTAATATAAAGTCATTTGATAGTTGAGTGTGGTGGTATACACATATAATCCCAGGATCTGTAAAACTGAGGCCAGAGGATCATCAGCTTCAAGGTTCAAGGACAGCCTGAACTCTACATAGTGAGACTATCTTAAAAAAAAGTCATCTGATATGTCTGGTTATACTGTTCACTTGAAATATTAAGTCTTCCTTTTTGTGTGTTGCTGGCTTTCAGAGTGTTACCTTTTGTAAAATAAGAATATCCACAGGTCTGGTTTCGGCCTTGTCCCCCTGACATGTTCTCTTATTCCCTCCATATTTTAACCTTGCTGTTTGTTTTTGACTTATCTTTCATGTATTTTATACAATATATGCAATACAGTATATGCACATGTATTTTTATTTATCCCCCTTTCTTACCCAAAAGGTAGCACACACCTCTGCCCTGCTTCTTTTCACTTCAGTATATCCTGGTGATCATTTCCCAGCAATCCACAAAGATTTGTGCCATTGTCCACAGTGGCAGAGGTTATTCAATTGTTTCCCTGTTGATGGATATTCAGGGGTTTTTCCTAGGCCTGGTCTTGTCTTATTGTTTCTTTTTTTGGATGCCAGGAATTGAACTCAGGACATCATGCTTGCCAGGCAGGTACTGTGGCACTGAGCTATATCCTCAGCACCCTCCCAGATCTTTTCTTTGTGACTAGCACCTTAAAAAATAAGTGTGTGCATACAAGGGTTTATGTTTCTGCCCCAGGCGTCTTTGGGTGAGATTTGCAAAAGATGATGATTCCATGCCAAGTCCCCTTCCTCGTGGTTGTACTGTGTCTAATACACAAAAGTGCTGTTGGCCCACAGCCTCAACAGCCAGAGTATGTTGTCAAGCTTGCTTTTGCCCATATAGTCTTTTGTTTGCTTTTGCTGTTCTTTGCTCTGCAGCAGTGTTTGTGTATCAGTCTTTTCCCTTATTCATTCTGCATATTTACTCTAAGGTAACTTTTTAAACTCCCAAACTGTGTAACTGAAAAGATACCAACTAATAATAGACTCATGTTTATGGAAGTAGATACTGAATGGGGTTGTTATCTTGGCTAAATTTGTATCTAAAATTGTGATTTTGTTTTTGTTATTTATCCCACAGCATGAAGACTTTTTGCTTGCCCTGCAGATGAATGAAGAACAATATCAAAAGGTATTTTGGAGCTTCACCCAGTTGATTTATCCAGGGTAATCTCTGGAGCTTTTCCTTAATCACATTTCCTTGGCATTTCAAAAGCTGAGCTAGTCTGAGAATCAGTCTGAGTCAGAGTTAAAAGGAAGGTAGTGATGGAGATGTTTTTGTTAAGGACCATTGCTGAGAAGCCAGTATGTAGACTGCTAGAGGAAGATGCAGAATTCAGAAAGCACCCTGGAGTTGAAAGAAAGTGCTGTGTCTGGCATTGGGCCATGGCTTTCTGAGAGGTGTGTGCTGCTGTGCATAGTGGCCCTCCTAGCAGGAGTAGGAATAGACAAAGGACTAGGTCCGGCTCTTCAGTGAATAAAGACATTAAAGTCTGGTATGTGTCTTGAGGTTGCTGCCTTAGTTAGCTTCAGTAGTCCTTAAAATAAAGCTTGGGCTGGGTTGTGACTCCCTCACAATCCTGTGTCCTAACAAGAGCAAATCCAATTTTTATAGCTTTTAGGTAGCATCTCATACCACTTATCCCTTATTTTTATAGTCATTTAGCATCTTAATACAGATATTATAGTTTCCCTAGTGCCATGGAATGGATGGATACGATGGCTTTGTACAAAGAATTGCTCCAGAGAATATACAAAAAATGTAAAATATTCACTACATTTAGCTATAAGTTAATGTCATAATTCTGAGGTGGGTGTAGCTAGAAAAGCACTGCTCATTGTTGTTTCATGGCTCCTAGAGGTCACTTTTGACCTCAGAGTGCATGTAAGGGCAGGGAGGACTGTAAAGACATGAGACATGTCCTCCCCTGTAATCAGGTACGTGTCTTGGTTACTTTTCTCTCTGCTGGGACAAAATACTTGCTACCCAACATGAAGAAAGGAAAACTTTATTTAGCTTACTGTGTTTGGAGATTTCAGTCCATATTCAGCTGGGTCAGAGCAGGGTGGTGGCTGAGGGACAATCATTCATGGTAGTCACAAGCACAAGGGTGAAAAGGCAAAAGGGAAGTGCTTAGTGGCCTTAAGAGAGAAGCTGTGGAAGCTCAACTACCAGAGTTGATGTAGGGGCGGAGTCACACATGCCTTTGGGAGCTTACAAATTACCACAAATAGCTTCAGATGTTCCATATGAAACTACAGGACTTAATATTTGCCCTGCTGGACTTTGGACTTCTTTGGTTCCATTCCTTTGAATCCCCATTTGTACCTTTGGGAATGGTAGTGTTTATCTTGTGCCATGTTGGAAGTATTTTAACTTTTCATTTGTACAGGGACTCACAGCTAAGAATTTGCCTTAGATCTTAAAGGAGACTTGGGATTTGGACTTTTCGGCAGTACTGAAACTGTTAGGACTTTGGCAACTCTTGGACATAGGTTAAATGTCTTTTGCATTAAGGATGTGCATGAGTCTTTTTGCAGCCAGAGGTGGAATCTTATGGTCTGTGATTGGATGTCCCCCTAAAGCCTCATGCAGTCATGGGGGGGGGGGCTGCTTTGAAGGAAGCTGACTCTAGCGTTTGTGATTGGTTTGTTGTCTAGCACTAGAATTGGCAGTGTGAGTGCTTCACCTCCCCAGGGGCAGGTAGCTAGCTTACAGTCTAAGGGAGGGAAAGAGGCATGCTCTTCCCTTTTTGCTTGCCACCTTTGGTGTCTGCTGCCACTATGAACAGGTGTCCCTCATCCACACCAGCCTACCTTGGAGCCAGCTAAATATGGACTGAAACCTCCACAAATTATGTACTAAATAAACCTTTCCTTCCTTCATTTTGGGTATCAGGTATTTTGTCTCAGCAACAAAAGAAAAGTAACCAAAATATGAAGTGTGGCATGTGGGGCATTCATATGTGTCTTTGATTGCCTGCAGGATGGCCAGCTGATTGAATGCCGCTGCTGCTATGGGGAGTTTCCATTTGAAGAACTGACACAGTGCGCTGATGCTCACTTGTTCTGCAAAGAGTGTCTCATCAGATATGCCCAGGAGGCAGTCTATGGATCTGGAAAGGTAAGGACCATAAATTAGCCATTCATAGGCACCATTCACAGACTCCATAGTGTCCATATTAATACATTTTATGGGTTGATGTAGAATTCTGATACATTCATATGTGTATGATCTAATTGATGTGATTATGTTTCTGACACAAGCAAGGTGTTTTTCAGGGAATGGTAGAATTCTGCCATGCCCACATGTGAGGCCCCACAGGGCACCCACTTCATCACTTAGCTTATTATTCATGGAGTGAAGGATGAACTCAGAAAGAGAGAACCTTCTGCCTGCTGAAACAATGAGAGTGCATTAGTATTTTTTATACACATTTTAAAGGATTTTATATTTGAATTAGAATGCTTCTTTTTCTTTCTTCTTCCTGTCTTTTTGAGACAGGGTTTCACTATACAGTTCAGGTTGGCATGAACTCACTTTGTAACGGAGACTGGCCTTGAACTTGAACTTGCAACACTTCTCCTGCCTCAGCCTTGGAGGTGCTGGGAATGTAAGCATGTGGCACCTTGCCCAGCCAGAATACATAAACACAACTGTTTTTGTATAAAGATTACATTTATCTGAAGTCGGTTACTTTTTTTTTAACAAATGCCTATTAGTTTTACAAAATACTGTTTCAGTGTGGTATTTTCATACATATGTATATTTTGATTACATCCATCCCCCATTACCCTCCCTTGCACCACCTCCCCTACCTCTTGTTCCCTACCCTTGTCTAATAATAATCCTCTTTCTACTTTCATATTATCTTTTTAGATTCCACATATTAGGGGGAAATGCTGTACTTATCTTCTGAGTCTGGCTTATTTTTCTTAATGTGATGATTTCTGGAAATGACATAATTTCATTTCCTTTATGACTGAATAGTATTCCATTGTATATATATTCCACATTTTCTTTTTTTTTCTGGTATCGGAGGCTCACACACATGACCTCACTCTTGAGAGGCAACCACTTGTGCTGCTGAGCTAAATCCCCAACCCTTCCCAGTTTCCTTTATCTACTCACCTGTTGATAAGCACGTAGGCTGGTTCCATATCTGGCCTTTCATGAATTGTACCACAGTAAATATGAGTGTTCAGGTATACATAACATGCTGACTTTAATTCTTTTGAGAAAATATATATTAGGAGTGCTATAGCTCAGTCATATAATAGCTCTGTTTTTAGTTTTTTGAGAATCTTTCATGCTGATTTCCATAGTAGCTGTGTGCTGTGGCTTATATCTTGAGGTACCCTCTTGCACTTACAAGTGGGACTTTCAGAGGTAGCTGGATTTAGGGTGTGTGAATATGGATTAAGGGTAGTGATACTGGGATTAAGGGTTCATGAACTGAATTGGTCATGGCTGGTTTGTCATAGTTCTGTATATGGGCAGTGGAAAGCCACAGCTAAGAAATGGGTGGCGCCACCCAAAAGGCTTGCAGCCTAGAAGGCGTAAAAGAGAAAAGGAGGTTCACTGCTTGCTGCCTCTTGTCTGCTCTGCCATAGACTGTTTCTTCTCTGCTGTGCTGCCCTGCCTTGGAGCCAACCAACTATAGACTGAAACCTTTACAGACAGAGCTAAAATAAACTTTTCCTCCTTTAACTTGTGGGTGTCGAGTATTTTGTTTCTGCAGTGCTAATTTACATTCCACGAGCAATGTAGAAGAGTTCCTTTTCCCCCACATCCTTGCCAGTATTTATTGATTTTTGTATTCTTGATAGAGTGCTCCGTTCTGGCTAGGTAGGGTGGAATCTCAGATTAGTTTAATTTTCAGTTCTCTGATGGCTAAAGATGTTGAACATTTTTTATATATTTATTAGCCATTTGTACTAACTCTTTGGAAAAATGTCTGTTCATTTCATTTGTCCATTTCCCACCTGGACTGCTATATTTCTTGGTGTTAAATTTTTTGAGTTTTTAATATAATCTAACTGTTAATCTTCTGTTGGAAAATGGCTGGCAGAGATTTTCTCCTCTAGGCTCTCTTTATTCTGTTGGCTATTTCCTGAGCTATACAAAAACTTTAGTTCAATATCATCCCATTTTTTGATTCTATTATTTTCTGTGTTATTAGAGTTCCACTCCAGAAATATTTGCCTTTGCCTGTGGCTTCAAGTGTTCTTCCTAGGTTTTCTTCTAGCAGTTTCAGTGGTTCAGTCTTATTTCTAGGTCTTTGATCTATTTTGAGATGATTTTTGTACAAGGTAAGAAGGTTTCAGTTTCAGTAGTTTCAGTCTTTTGCATGTGGTTACTCAGTTTTCCCAGCACTGTTTGTTACAGAGGCTGTGCTTTCTCCAACATCATTTATGGCTCCTTGTCCATAATTAAATAGCTGTAGTTGTATGGATTTGTTTCTGTGTTCTCTCTTCTATTCCATTGGTATATATGTCTGTTTTGTTTTTGTTTGTTTTTTTTTTTTTTATTTAAAGAAAAGGAAACAAAAAAATACATGGAGATTTTAAAAAAAGGGTAGAAATAATACAAAATTACAGAAAAACAAACGGTAAGAAATTGCCGGTTGATAAGTTACATATTGTCATCTTAGAAATAGCTGGTCAGGTTACAAAATTAAAGTATTTAGAATGACATTCAAAAAGTTGGGGCTGGGGATTTAGCTCAGCGGCATAAGCGCCTGCCTTGCAAGCAGGCAGTCGTAAGTTCGATCCCTGGTACCGATAAAAATGAGAAAGACAAAAAATAAATAAATAAATAAATAAATAAATAAATAAATAAAAAAGTGACACTACAGACAGTTCTGTTCAATGATCGAACAAAAACTCAGTAATATGGTTATCAGTCCTACACACTTGTTTTACATCTCAAAGAGGGTAAGATTAAACATATCAAAACAGAACAAAGCAGTTAAAAAAACAATTTAAAGAAATACAGATTTCAAAGCAAGTCCGCTGGAGATCTTCACTGTCTGTCTCTAGTTTCTTACAAATAGTTGTCCCCATCTTCACCCACTTTATATACTAATTGCATATTATAGAACTAATCAAATCATTACAGGATAATGAAGGCTTTTTAGATCTTCAAAATCCAACATTAGGGAAGACAATAATAACTACCATCACATCTCTCATTCTCTTCGTGGTAGCTGTCCCCATCTCTACATATGCTGAAATTAAACTCAAGAGACCAGACCAATGTCATTCTAATCAGCAAACAATAGTATTGCTAGAATTTATATCATAATGCTACAAAATTAGCATCAGGTTTCTTAGCATCTCTTCTTCAGAGTATCTGTTCATTACATCTTGCATTATATAATCTGTTCCCGTAAATAATTTTTTTTGGGGGGTGGGGGTCTTTTTCCTTTTTATCGGTACCGGGATTGAAGTCATGACTGCCTGCTTGCAAGGCAGGCACCTATGCCGCTGAGCTAAATCCCCAACCCTCATAAATAATTTAAAAAAAAAAAAAGCTCATGTGTGAATTTCTACATATATATCTATCCTCTCTGTATTATAGGGAAAACCAAGTCGTAGCAAGACAGCAAAACAAATTCCTAGAAAAACATGCAATGGATAAGACATATAAGACCACAATATAGATGATCTTCTGTAGTTACAGTGTTTTCTCTTGTTATTTTCAATAGATTTGTCCACAACACCGGCTTAATATAGTTAAACATAGTATCACCTATTTTTATAAAAACTTAACTTTGACAGCATTGTAGGATTTGAGAGCTGTTACTAATTAATACCAGTATGGATATCCTTTACATCTTGTCATCTTCAGAGTAGTTGCCTCTACTTTTAGGGTTGATACTAACAAGCATACCAAATTCAAATAAAATCAGCCAAGGCCAACCCATAGTCTTATGATTCAGATTCAATTAAGATCAGTCATAGTAAGACAATGTAAGTAATACAGGATTTCAGTTTAAGTTAATAGGAAAGTAAGGATAGTTACCATGGTATAACCTGCTATTTTTGGGTCAAGATGTCTGTGCCCTCAAATCTGACATGAGTGGACAGACCAGAACAAATTAAATTCAAACTAAATATGGCAATAAGACTACTGTGTCTTTTAAATCCTTATACACTATTAACAATGACCTCTGCCTTTTTTTATAGTGTTTCAGAGCTGTCTATACTAAAGACTATAGCTTACCGTCTCTGCCTCCTGTCTGCTACTCCACTTTTCTGCTATAATTTGTCCACCTTATTCTCTCATTCCACTGTCTGCCCCATTCATTGAGGCCTCTCTGCCACTGTTGCTGGAATCCTGTTATCCCTTCCTCTCTTTCTCTGTAACGTCCTTCAGCACTCTCTGTAGGGTTGGATTGGTGGCCACGAACTCCCACAGTTCCTCCTTGTCTTAGAAGCATCTTATTTCTCCATTAATTTTGAGAGAGAGTTTTGACGGGTATATGAGCCTTGGTTGCATATTATTTTCTTTCAGGACTTGGAATATTTCTCCCCATTCCCTTCTTGACTTAAGAGTTTGTGTTGATAAGTCTGTTGTTATTTTGATAATTTTCCCGTTGTAGGTAATCTGCTTCTTTTCTCTGGCTGCTTTTAATATTCTGTTCTTTTGGTGGATTTCTGGAATCTTGATTATTATATGTCTAGGCGTAGATCTGTTTTGGTTGTAGGTAGCTGGTGTTCTGTATGCCTCTTTTATCTGGATATCATTTCTTTTTGCTATACATGGAAAATTTTGCTTTAATATATCTGTGAATATTCTTTGTATTTCATTTTTGGTTGCTCCTGCTTCCTCACTCACATTCTTTATTCTTAAGTTATGTATCTTTTTGTCATCTTCTAGCCTTTGAATTGTTTCTTTCTGGTTCCTTGTTATTTTTAAGAGGCTTTTTCTTTCACGGTCGTATGCCATAAATCTCTCTTCAAGTTTCAGAAGGCTGTCTTTGGTTTCTGTCAAGGCATTTTGCCAGTGTTCAATGGAGTTTTTAGTTTCCTGGTAATCTCTTTGGATCTGTTTCATGTATTCTAAGTTATGTTTAAATTCTTCTTCAGAAGTTTCTCTTTCTTTTCTGATTTCCTCAG